AATTTGAAAATTACATCAAGAGTATCATTTTTTAAAGAAATGTTTTTCGAATCTACTAACTCTGAACTTGGAAGAGACAGCAAATTACATCATTAGAGGAATAGGCAAAGATTTTTGGCATAGCACATTAGCATCTAGAATATCCTATTACAAGAAACTTTTAGAGGGTACTACACCTAAAAGGATTTATGAAAGTGATGGTACAATATGTTCAGTTCTGAAATAAAAACACCTGCCACTCTGAATTTCTTGGAGAAACATTAAATAAACAATACTGCCTGGTTTTTTCTGAATTTTATTTTTATAACAAATTTGCATAATTGATTATAGTCCACATTACAGAATGAGGAGATCAAAATAAACAGTGGGTAAGTGCAAATAAATAGATCAGAGCAATTGGGAATACTAATAATTACAGCCTATTTTACAAGATTATTAAGAAGAGGGATGAAAAGTTGGATGTGCAAGGTCCTGTGCACTATATATGGTAAATCACAATGCTAGCCATTGCTCCTTTCGTATTAATACATCCTGCGGTCAGACTGGTTGATGTGAACTTACTTTTCATATGTAAGGATTCTACATGTAGAAAGCCTTAACCATTATCAGTTTTTGCCTGGCACTTGTCTATTGTAAGCATGAGTATACAGGATCTGGATTTCAGGCTGCTTTGTTTTCCCCTGCAATGAGCTTTCTGTGGGCAGACTATAAAGGATCTGTTGAAGGTCACCGGCTCCAACGATTGTCCTTTATGTAATGGTAGCTCTGCTGAGGGAGATATCAGAGTGATGGGGGAGGAAAGGAAGTAGGCAACAGCAATGGCATTTGCATTAACTTGATAGTGCAACATACACCTCATCTTGGAATCAGGCAATTCTTTGAAAGCCACTTAAAGTTCCATAATAGCCCATGGGTTTTGATTTCCTCTTTTGATGTGTGAACTTGAAGCAAAGCCACGGAACAGGAAGAACTACAGCAAGTATGCCTGTAAAGTTGGAACTGAAAGAACAGACGCTCTACAGAGAATTCACATTTTTGCATCTGCTTCATTTAAGAGAGGAGCAGCACTCAGTATGACACACTTCCCATTGCACATCAATATGAGATCATGATTTTAACCGAACTGGATGGAGGAGGAAGGAAAATACCATGTCAGTAATTTTGTTTCCTTCACACATTAAAGAGGTATAAAATGTGGTTTGCAATGTAATACAGGATATGTAATAAAATGGAATATACCTCATACCATTTGCCAAATTAACGTTTTCTGTGATGATTTTGAAGAGAGTCAGATGTTACAGAAATATCCAGACTGGAGATGTTCACAGACTGACTGTGCACAGTGGACTGAATCTCCATTGAAGACTCAGTCTTCAATGGATGGTTGTTTTCCATCAGAGGAGGACTCCTTTGTCTTTCTAACTACCAGTGAGTTGAGGGAAGGAGGCCTACCCATTTGCTGGCTGGCATAGAGCCACTTCTTTGTTACCTAAATGGCCCAGGTCTCTCTGCTTCACCAGCCTGGGAGCTGACATAGGGAAGGAGCACCCCTCACACTTTTCCTTAGCTGGTACCAGTGGTGCAGCTGCGAATGTGCTTATGGCTGCACTACTCTACCAAGCGTTTACAATCCCTAAATTGGGCTGCACTTGGTCCCTTTGTTACCATCACATTGTGTTGACCTTGCTGCTAGCACATGATGACAATAGGCTTTGTGATAAATGAAAAATATGATGTGGCAGTCCATCTTTTTGATATGCATACGGTTGAAGTTTAACATTTTATTGTTAGATAAGGGAAAAGATTCTTGTATATAAGGATTTAACTGTAGGAGGCTTTTAAATTAGGTACCAGATGCTTGATCTGGAAATTCCCATGAAATTCCCACCACTTTTACTTAGCCCATGGAGATTTTGGCCACCCTCTGGACTTACGATGCAATTAGAACAAATGAGGTTATGAGACTACTTTTTCAGTGTGGCTTAACAATCAATCTGTCTTCCCAGGGATTCTTGGAAATTATAGCTCTCCAAGGGCAATAGGATTTGTCTAACAAACTACAGTTCCCAGGATTCTTTGGGGGATTATACCACTGTTAAAGTGGTATAATAGTGTTTTAAATATATAATGCAGATGTAGCCCCATACTTCCTGTTCTTACTGGGAACTAGATTTCAGAGAAGTCGTGTTACTAAATTGGCTGCTAAAAACATTTTCCTAAGGCCTAAATGAGAACGCTAGCATGTATGAAGATTGTATTTAGCATTAGCCAAAACTGTTGACTATAAATGTAGCCTAAGGTATTGATTATATATTTAGCAAAGCTATTAATTATGGTGTACTGTATTAAAGTCTAAGAATGTGTAGAGGAATATAATCATTTAAGAGCCTAGCTGCAGAGTAGTATATAAAATAGATGAAGTACTACAAAAAAAATTGCTGTTAAAATGAGGCCTATAGCAACTACTCTTCTCTTAGCAGTGTGCTTAAAGGTCTTGGCTGTGATTCTGGATTGTGCTTCATATTGCATTACGCAGTTTATGTTCTGGGTAAAATATATTTGTGAGTCTTTTATGTATGGAAGCTGAGAAGTAAGTAATGGTCATCCTAGTATAAATCCCATTTGTGACCTACTCTGAATTTTCTAGCACAATATTGCAAAACATATTATGTTTCTAAATAGTATGGTGTTCAAAAAACACTTCTTCTCTTGGACAGGGTTTGCAACATACAGCAATAACAAATCACAGTAATCTTAAAAGCAGATTAACATTTTGAACATGCAAAGAATAAAAATAAATTGTAGAGTATTTTGAGCATATGCTGCTGTATATGAGTGAACTGTAAATAGCTATGATGGTCAGAACACAGGGGAAATGGGATTAATTGTAATCCCACAGCATTTGAGCAGCTAAAATCATCCAATAGCCGGGGGGGGGCATGTCAATTGATCATTTTGAAACTAATTCGAATATATTTTTGCTTTAGAAAAAGCAGACAGACAGGAAGAAAACTGCAACAATTTTATTTACAGCTAATGGCCAGACATCACAGATGTTTCTACTAATCTTCACATATTTGAGTCTAAGAACATATTTACAAAACCAAGCCTATTTGCAGTGCAACCTACTCAAAAGTAATTCCCATTAAATTCAATGAAATTTATTCCCAGGTAATTGGGAATGCAGCCATAGTTCAATATATTGACCTGGTGTGAACAACATAGTAAGCCAATTTATGGCTTTCTGGCACTGCAAAAATGTGCAGGCTCCTGGAGACGATCTCACAAACACTTCGTTCCTCCCTGGTCCTTTTTGTTGCCATCCTCCACTGAGCAAAGGTTTAGTTTAGCTTACCATCCATATGTGGACTCCTTGTTAAGCTGTCTTCTCACGAACCATGAGTTTGGCTTCTCGTGTTGTGTGAACCAGGCAAATGTCACAACTCCTGAATTCTTTAGTGGACCTGTATGATGCTTTTATTTACATACACAAACAAACACACACAATGTTTAGGGTAATTGCAAAATCTGTGCAACATATCAGTTAGACTCATTCAGAAGCATGTGGGCTTCTGTCCGCCACCTCCCCTCTCAACTCAAATCATGCTTATTATTACCACATTCACAATGTATTTAAGCAAAAACACAGCGTTATATCCAATTAATTCCTACACTTAGATGATCCATTGAAATTAATGGAACTTATTTAATCATATTTATTTTTATTTAATCATATTTATTTAATCACATTAATTTAATCTGAGAAGCATTGGCTATAGGCCTTAAATTGCAACAGAGGTCACCAATCGTTTTGGACCAGAGGGCAAAATTTTGAATTTTGAGAAAGTGCTGTGGGCACAAGTGAACAAAATAGCTACCATTGGAGGCGGAGCTGTTGTATTCTGCTCATTATGAATTTGAATTGAAAGCATAACACAAAATTAGAGTCATAGTCATTGCTGTTTCCCTATCCCGTGGGACAATGCTTGCCATGCGACATTAGCTACCTCATGCTGGTCCTGACTGGGGAGTTCAAACAATTGATTTCTCCTACACACACACGGGTGGCGCTGTGGGTAAAACCTCAGCGCCTAGGACTTGCCGATCGCAAGGTCGGCGGTTCGAATCCCCGTAGCGGGGTGCGCTCCCGTTGCTCGGTCCCAGCGCCTGCCAACCTAGCAGTTCGAAAGCACCCCCGGGTGCAAGTAGATAAATAGGGACCGCTTACTAGTGGGAAGGTAAACGGCGTTTCTGTGTGCTGCGCTGGCTCGCCAGATGCAGCTTGTCACGCTGGCCACGTGACCCGGAAGTGTCTGCGGACAGCGCTGGCTCCCAGCCTATAGAGTGAGATGAGCGCACAACCCTAGAGTCTGGCAAGACTGGCCCGAACGGGCAGGGGTACCTTTACCTTTACCTTACACACACACCTATAACAACAGGGAGCATTATCCAGTACCAGGAAAAATATACAAAATGGCTACACCACACTCACTTTTTTGCATACAAGATACAGAGCACAGACACACCTGCATCTCTCCCTCTCTTTCATAGACCACACATTCATACATTCCCCCCTTAAACACAACACATGTCCATCTCTCCCTTTCATATATATGGGTGTCTGCAGTAAAAAAAATATTGTGAAGCTCCTGCTAGTGCAACTGTTTAGCTGAATCTGACACCAACTTTTTTTTTTTAATGAAAGCTGGGAATCTGGGGGTTGGGGTTTACTCCAGGGGCAGCATCGAAGGCTTCACAGGTGCCATGGTGCCCACATGTGCTGGGTTGGCAATCCGTGGTACAATGTTTAAACTCCTTGTTAATGTCAAAAGCTTGCAAGGGAGAAAGAGAGAGAAAAAGCTTTTCAGGTTTCAGGGGTTGAAATAAAATGTCATGACTGTACTAGAGAACTTAATGCTGATCCACTGCATTGATTCACTTTGATGACCTCTCCATAAAACTTTGTGTTATTAATTAGGTCACAATTGTGTGTTTCTTAGAGCTCCCTGAAGAGAAGAGGCAGCAGGGATATTCACAAAGAAAAGAAGGCATTTGCTCAGGTACCTGTTTCCAACCAAGTATGTTTTACAAAGTCCACATGAAGATTGACCGGGCAAATTGATGCTGTTCCTCTGTGTGTCCATGCGCAGTGAGCCTGCCACCCCTAAAGCGTGGAGGATGAGAAGCAAAATAGCCACAGTACAACGATCTGGCATCAAACACGCCACATCTTTTATTGATTACAGGTGAACGTAGACTCAGGCTTTGGCACTGAGTATACTGAATCATCCAATCCATCTGCTGGCTGGTTACAATTTGGGGTTGATACTGAGTTAGGATTGTCTTATGTCATACATCAAATAGGAACAGCCCCTCAGGTTCGCCACCCTAGGGAGTGCTATGGCCCTCAGGCCTCATCTGGGCATTTGGACAGAAGGACCTCCAAATGGTCCATTCAGTGTGACACCCTGTTAGCTTGGAGTAGGGAGAGGCTAAGACTTCTGACTCCCCCCTCTCCCCCCCCCCGCTTGATTAAGGATCCCCCCCAATGCTTTATCCGCAAAAAGTTGTGACGGTTGGGGGGGATCCAATCGAATCATGATCTCCCACCCTCTCTCCCTTTTTCGGCAAAGTATCAGGTGGGTCCGCGGGAACACCTTGCTATGCAAGGTGAGGGATTTTTCCTCCAGGCAAACTGGACCTGTCTGGGTTTTCTGATTACCAGAAATTATCACCTGATACTCTGCCGAAAAAGGGAGAGAGGGTGGGAGATCATGATTCGATTGAGCTGTGCACAAAAAAAGAGACAAACCCATTTTATGTCCAAGGAACAGAGCTGAGTGAAGGACCACCCACCCCCGGCCAGGGAGACCCCAGTTGGGTCTGCCCCACTCCCAAGGACATGCTGCCAAGGACATGGCCAGATTCACAGGCAGGCTAAATTTAAACCCCACGGTTAGTAGGAAAGGATGGGAGGTCTCCTGCCAGTTGTTAAGGAGCCAGAGAAGAGGTGTCATGGCATGCTACAACTGACACCTCACGGGAAAGGTAAGCAGGATTTACAATTTTTTGAAATGCTAAAGTTGTCAGAACCTCCTTAAAATCAACTTACAATTCAGAATTGCTTGTAGTTTTTATATAATACGCACCTTTGATTCCCACCCGCACCCCCGCTTCTATCATGTCTATAGACAAAAGCTGAAACTTTCCTTATGGAAAATAAAGCACCTTGTCTCAAAGTATTTGGAGCAAAGAGAGCTCAGGGACATTCACTAAATTTATCCTTGGTGCCAAGGTTTTTGTGCTAATGAGCATCTTGGCACTTCACACATTGAAACAACACATAGTGTGTTATTCTCTCAGAGTTTGAGGCATTGTTTTTTCATGAGAGCTGAACAGCATGTGATAGCAAGAGATCTGGATTAAAATAGAAAAGTTAAAGCCATCCACTTGCCTCGCTTGCATTCAATTTTTATTAAATTCCTAAAGTGTGGATTTCCTCAGTACTCTTGGTTTAGAATTCTACTCCTATCATGTAAAGAAACCCCCCCCCCCCAGTTTTTATACAATTAGTTGTTATATAGATTGGGCACATGCATTAGATTTCCACTCAGTGGTTGTGTTTCAACTATCAAATCTCAAATTAATAAGCCTCTGTATGCACAAGTTTCATGCACCTGAATGATTAATCTGACTGTTGCCAATGGAAGCTGAAGACAATGACAGGCAGATAAAGATGCTGTGAGTCTCCATGTTACTGCTCACTGCAGACTGTATCTGGACTATATTTTCCACCTACACTTGCCCTTTTCCAAATACAATAAAGTTACTTTCAAACAACTGAGAGCCAGCCATACAACAGAGCTGTTAAGCAAACAGAGGCCTGAAAACCAATTTAATATGCCTAGACGAATAAAGTTGTCTTATCTTGGAGCCTCAAAGCTTGTGGTGTCAATGAAGTTTTCTTTCCTCCTTGAAAGATTGACAACATGTTCCCCATTATCTGACCAGCTGAGGGAAAGTGGCATTTCTGTTCCATGTATAAACACATATACTTGTCTGGATCTTAGTTCCTAAGTGTTTTTTGTCACTTACATTAAGGTACTCAAATTTTTGGATCAAATATTAGGTTTAAAAAATCCAATAATGTGAAAACAAAGAGAGTGTTAGCTATACTTCTCTGCATTTAGTTTTATTGAAAAAAAAAGTTTCTGTTCAGCAGAGCTGCAGAATGGAGCTTCTTGGAAAGTGCCAGGCAGCAGTCAGGACACAAAGAAAACTGTTTCTTCAGCGCAAGGTAGGATTATTGGCACCAGCCCAATTTCCTGGGCACCAGCTATGCTGCCATCTCATCTAGCTTACAGCCCAGTAAGTGCATAGCCATATTCTGCCTGGCAAAGACCATTAAGGTGGTGACAGGAGTTGGAAGATTTGATTTTCATCCCTTTCTCTTCAGGTCTACCTACTGGTCAAAGATACAGATATATATTTATATACATTTTGCAGTATGAGCAAGCCCTCAATTTCATCACAGCTTCTGCGCTGCAATCCTAATTTGTTCATGTTCCTCTTTCTGCCACCCCCCTTCATTTTTGCATCTGGTGTTTATTGCAAGCTCTTTGGCAGCTAATGTATCTGTATGTAGAACTCTCTTCAAAATGCAGAGTACACTGTGTAAACTTAGCTGACATGCCTATACCCTGTATGTGCCCAGATTCTGTGAAGAAGACCTCATCAACATACAGAGGTTGGATGAGGAGGTGGTAATGGGCATGTTATGACCTTCTCGTGGATGCACTGACTGAATTTTGCATGAACAGTTCTAGAGTTGGGGCCAATATAAGGGGCAAAACAATGCAAACACAGCTTATGGCTGGGGGATGGGGTTGGATTAGGTAGATGTCCCCACCACCACCAGCTCAACCAGCCTGCCACTGTTCATCCTTCTGCAGACCAAATGGAGCTGGGTGAGCAGTATTCCTTCTGGTGGTATTCCCACCAGCAGGGGCCAATGAAACTCAAAAAGCAGGGCATTCTGATGGCAAGGAAGGGATGGTGTTGATCACAGATAAGAAAATAGAACAGCTTTTCCTAGTTTATGGCACTTATAGCTAGATGGGGGTGATGGGAGTTGTAGTTCAAAACATCTGTAGGTCATCAAGTTGGAGAAGGCTGCTGTAGATGATTTCTAAGAGAAACTGGATCCCACAACCAGTGGAAGTTCATATCTGATAAACGAGACTGTCTAATAGATCAGAGCAGCTAATCTGTCACTTTAAGATTGGTTCACATTACAGATTTATCTGGTAACAAATGAGCTAACTTCAATTTCTAATGTAGCCAATGCATGGAACTTTTATTTGCATATTCTGTGCTATAATCCTGTTATTTTCCTGCTGCTTAGCATTTAAGAGCTCTGCCCTGCTACCAGAGATGGTCCTTAATTAGCATGCTGTTTGGTAATGAGCATATGCTTACTTAATATTTCTTTATATATTTTCTCACAATATTTAAGGCTCTGTGCATGAAAAAAAAGAAAGTGGAAAATGCTAAATTAACCTTACCCAGATTTAACATAAGATGTCAACAAACAATCCTAATCGTTCTAATTGAAATAAGATATATGTTGTCAAACATTTTTATTTTGTTAACTGATGTCGCCATATATTTTTCTCTGCACACATGAATACATAACACACACACACTTACTTACATCTATCATAATTGGTTACTTTTGCACTAATTGGGATATACCATTTGAGAAGTTTTAGTTAAGGAAGTTAACCTCAGACTGCAATTCTGTACACACTTACCCAGAAGTCAGTCTCACTGAACTTAATGAGGCTTACCTTTTAATAGACATGTATGTGTAGGTTTATACTATTAAGGTACAATAATTTTTAACATGGATAGGGAGTCTAAGTCTAAGTTCTTTGGAGATCACTTGTGGCTGAGTAAGATTGTCTTCCATGAATACGGTCTTAACAGTGTGTCTGTAAGTGACTATGGAGGCCAATTCTGGATCCTCATGTCCTTCCACTGTTGGGACATAGGTTTCTGGGCAGGAGTTGATCACTATGAGTCTAAGTACCTTTCATATGTCTGCCTTAAATTACTATATCCTTGTAGAAATCTGGAACTCCCTCTGCCAATACACTCTTTAATGGAGCAGACATTACTAGGAGATGCATGGGAGCTACATTGCTCCCATAAATGTACAGTAATGTACAAACAGGGACTTTATCACTGAAGGTTGAAGTAAATGTAAGCTCTGCCCATGGGCACAATTTTTTCCACATGTGTGTAACATCTCTCATTTTATGGTTAATAGTTTATTTTATTACAGAAGCTGCAATCTTACATGTCACTGTAGACCTTCTAAAGCAGGTGTGGGGAACCTCTGGCATGTGGGACATATTGGGATTTGCTATAAGATACTTTATATTGGATTTTGTAGCAGCTGATTTTAAGTTATAGGTAGCAATAATACTGGACTCCTATAAAATCAACAAAACTTCTATACTTATTAAGTATCACACAGTGCTACGATGATTTATTGTACCATTTCCTACACTGGAAAACAGTCTTGTACACTTCAGTGTGTGTGATGGATTAAAGCCTCACATACTGAGGGTTATGCAGCTCACAGAAAAAGTGTGTGCAGAATTACACTGTTGCTTGCAAACTTTGGGCCTTCTTTTGGGTGGCATGCATAATTTTTCATGGAAGAGCTTCTAAACTTAGAAACTAATGATTTATTCATTTTTCAGTAGCTGAAAACATGTGCAGTCTCTGAAACATTTGTATTTGTAGCTGTTATTTTTCTGAGAATCTATAAGGTGGCAATTTTTCCACACTTAACCAGCTATGTATTCATTGAATGTGCGTGTGTGTGTGTGTGTGTGAGAGAGAGAGAGAGAGAGAGAGAGATGTCCCTACACCTGCTTTATGGAGTTACAGCCATTGTGTTTGTATTTTAAACAATTTCCTCTTTCTCTCTTCATTTTTGGGATTTTTTCTTGGCAGGAAGACAGCGCTGATTTAAAGTGCCAGCTTCAGTTTGCCAAAGAAGAAACAGCATTGATGCGTAAGAAGATGGCCAAACTAGGCAGGGAGAAAGATGAACTGGAACAAGAACTTCAAAAGTACAAGTCTATCTACGGAGATGTGGAAAGTCCTCTCCCTATTGGGGAAGCTGGAGGACCACCCAGCACAAGAGAAGCTGAACTGAAGCTTCGCCTGAAACTAGTAGAAGAGGAAGCTAACATTCTGGGGAGAAAATTAGTGGAGCTGGAGGTAGAAAACAGAGGTATTAAGGCTGAGATGGAGGATATGAGATGCCAGTATGAGAGAGCATGTTTAAGCCAGGACCATGTTTCAAGCATTCCTACCTCACCTTATGGTGACTCTCTGGAGTCAGCAGCAGAACTTCGCCGACATTTGCAGTTTGTAGAAGAAGAGGCAGAACTGTTGAGGAGATCTATCTCTGAAATTGAAGATCATAATAAGCAGTTAACAAATGAATTAAATAAATTCAAATTTGAGCCTGGACAAGAGTCTGGCTGGCTTGATGAAAATGCTTCCAAGTGCAGTGGATCCTTACAAGAAGAGTTGAAATCTGCTCGAATTCAAATCAATGAACTGAGTGGGAAAGTGATGAAACTCCAGTATGAGAATCGTGTATTGATATCCAATGTACAGCGCTATGATCTTGCCTCACATCTAGGCCTGAGGACTTCAAGCCCTAGGGACAGTGATGCTGAGAGTGATGCAGGGAAGAAAGAGTGTGACAACGAAGAGGGCCATCTACCTCAACCAAAGAGAGAGGGACCCATTGGGGGCGAAAGTGACTCAGAAGATGTATATGAAAAGACATCAGGTTTTGGGAGTGGGAAGCCATCAGAAGTTAGTGATCTTTGTTCCACCGAACTAACAAGGGCCAAAGAGGATACAGAGTCTTTGATCAGCATCAGGCGTGAGGCTGAAAGGCTTGAAAGATCTGTTGACCGTCTCATCATTGACACGGATAGTTTAATATATGAATCAAAAGTGCACATAACCAGCAGTACTTCCTCTGAGCAAGGTCTGGAAAAAGATGAAGGAAAACCGGAGAGCAAGAATGAGCCGGAACTTTTGGATAATATTAATTCAAGAATGAAAAATTTCCAGAAAGAACTGCAAACCTTCCTAGAGAAGGTTGACAGTATTGGGGAAGGCCTCAAAGACCAAATGGAAGACCTTTCCCCTCTCCCTCACCTTACAGAATCCTCTAGTTTTCTCTCCACAATGACATCTTTATCCCGAGACTCACCCATTGGTAACCAGGGAAGGGAGCTAATTTCAGATTTTCAGGTAGGTGGACTTCTTGTTTGTCACCTCACTTTTTTTTTAATTCTTTCCTGCTGCACTGGTGCTATTTTTACACATGGCTGCTTTGTTATGATTTTGAAGTATAAATGATAAAACTTTTTTTTTAGGTTTTTATCTTCTACTTTGCTACAGAGGCTGTTCCTCATGGCAAAAAAAGCTAACAGAAGCTAAAGGCATCTGAATCTTTTCATTTCCTCCGTCCTTGATCTGCTATATTCATGGTCATTTTGTTCTGATGTCAAACTTTTAAAAAAAGTTACTGAGAGGCACCATCACAATACATTTTCTTTTCATACGCCATTAGCAGCTTTGCTAATGAATGTGTAAATTACCTTTTCCCCTCCTATGATTCTGATTCCTTAAATGAAATGTATTCTCAAAAGGTCTTGCTAAACATAAAAATCCAAAATAAAATAAGATATTCTTGCAAAGCCTGCTTGCAGCTCTCTCACATAACCGAGGGGTGAGCAAAGAAGCACTGTAGCCAGCGAAGGACTGCCTTTCGTAACCCGTTTCCCCTGGGCTCATGTCTATACTGCCACAGCTGCCACACTGGATATGGCTTTTCTGCACAGCACAAGTAAGGATGGAAGAGCCTTGTATCCCCATATCCTCCATAACTTGTATGCTTGCTGTTGGTTTGACTCATGCATCCTCATTGCATGCGCCTCATAACCAGTGTGCATTCTTTCCCCTCTCTTTCTCTTTTTTGCTTTTCAGATATTTCAGCCCATTATTTTGCTCATCCTCATTTTAGTTCTGTTCTCTTCACTTTCTTATGCCACTGCATTTAAGTTGGTTTTTCTGTTCATGCTTTTCTTTGTCTTGTAGTTTTTTCAGTCGTCTACCTTACCCATTTTTGTTTCTTTTATTTCCTCCTGTCCTTTGTTTTTTTGTGTTATCAACCCCACCCATGCACCTAACAGTCCAAACTGAGGGATCAGATGGAGTGGCAGCGCAGCCAAGACCATGGAGACGAGAGAGAGAGTCATCATCAACGAGGCAACACCGAACCACACTGCAGAGCTGATGGAGAATTTAAACTCTACAGGCCAGGAAACAAGGGTTGTTTCAGTCTAGAGGTTAGCACAGCCTATTAAAAAGCTCTTGCTGCCCTCAAAGGGATCAATAAGTGTTTGCCACAGAAGCTAAGGCAAAGTGGTGGGAAATAATTCATATGGGCTATTATGACTTGAATTTGAGCTAAAACCAACCACAACAACCCACAATGTTTGCTTAAAACCTCTGCACCCTTAGACTTCTGTGATCCTAATGGCCACCCCTGATATACCTGTAACTGACCTGGAAAGAAACAGATAGCCAGAATCCCATGTGGGTGGTGGTTGTGTTGCTCACCTTGATGGCTTTGAAAAATCATTGGAAGTTAAATTATATACCTCAACACTATATCAAGCAATAGTCACTACAAGGTTGCAGTGTAGTATGTTCCTTGTATTTCTCACCAACAAAACTTTCAGAAAGCCTGTGTAATTTTTTCCATGCTTGATAGCATATAAATAGTTGTGATTTTATGGACATGCTCCAAAATCCCCCACACAGAATTGCTTCCTTTTTTTTCTTCTGTGAAGAACATCTCTCTAAATGTATAGAACTATTTCTTGTTGTATACATCAACCACTTTCATTCTCTAGAGCAACAATCAGCTTGCATACATAAGCATCATAAGTATGATGACTTGTATATTTATCCATAGATGATACATTGTGAGCTGTCATTGCTAATGGTTGCAAAAGCATTAGTTTCCATCATAATCCATCTGGCTGTGTCCTGGAACCAGCCAAATTTGAATTCTTAATCGTGGGTATGTACAGATGTTGAGTGGTGATCTCTGTAGCATAGCAGTCACTACATTTTGTTTAGATGTATGACTTTCATCCTGGACTGAGTTGACAGGAAACTGTTCCCAGTCCTTACTGGCTGAAAAGCAGTGATGCCACTAATCCAATTTTCTTAACCTTCTTCCAAAAGCAGTTTTAAAGTGTTTTAAACCTTTTAAAGAGGGTATGAATGTATATTTGATTCCTTAAATTTACATGCAGCATTTTAAAATTACCAAAGGCTGATTGCATGGAGGAAGTAGCAATATGAGACAATTAAATCAGCATTTGATTCACAGTCCAGCAAGTCTGTCGGATGCATTGCCTAGATTGGCAGGTGGGGAGGCAGATTTGAAATGTAGAGGAGAGAACAATGCAGCAAGCCTCAATTTGCATGTATGTTTGTGCACAACATGTATTAACTTTTGTTGTGGTTCAGCCAGGCACAGAACGAATAGGCATAATCAGAATTAGGGAAATGAAAGAGGGCAATGAGAAATAAACAGAGTTTGGAAGCATGTTGGTATTATGCTAAATAGTTTGTTCTAATGGCCTGTGTTGAACAGACATATTATTTTACAGTCTGTTTAGGGCCCAGGCTTGCCAGCTCTGTAACAGATTCCTTCTTTAATGGATGAGCAAACATGCAGATGGGCATAGATATTATAAATAAATTTGGTCAGTGTATTTAAAAAAAATAATCCAGAGAACAGAAATATGAAGTAAATGTTAGCCATTTATTTCAGACATGTATATGACACAATACTGCAAGATGACATAAGATTTTTTGTTACAGGGTAGTCCTTTACAGGTAATAAAACCTGTACTTTAATCCATGGGTCAAAAGTGTACAAAACACACCTGTTTGCCTGAGATAAGAGTTTTGGGGGGTTTTTTTTGCAATCACTTCTATGTTTTGTCAAACTAAGGCCACGTCAACAACTGATCAAATTTTATATTGTACTATAATAGCAGGCTGACATTAAATTTATATACAATGGCACAAAGTTTAGAGAGCCCAGTAAGAGCATTAATTTGCCAATTTTTTGCCATTATAAAATAGGGAAACCAAGGTTATTTGCATGTGGTGAAATTATTTTTAGTGTTGATTTTAGATTTTGTGTTAATATAGTTTGGTTCATAACTATGGGCAATAAGCTATGAGGGCATTAACACTTAAATAGTTGACGAAGCCCATTGTTTATTCAGGCAGAAGGGAAAGCACTGGAGTTTTACTAGCCATCCATATAAAGTGTTTTTAAAGCATGGAACAGTGATTGTCATTTGTGACTGTGGGAAAAATAGTCCACTTGCATTTGACAAGAATAAAAGACGTGGATTAACAGAAGAGTCTGAAAAAGAGTGGCTTCAAGATGTTAAAGTTTAACTAATCTGCATTAAGTGCTCCTTCAGAACTTTCCCTGAACGGTGGATCAGTTATTCCAATCTGCATTTGTGACTATGAGAACAGACCCATGAGTTCATTTATCCTAGATTCATTAATCCTACTTCTTCTTCATTGGCAGGGATATAGAAGATATCCCAGTTCTCAGTAATTTGCCAGTCTGTTGATACGAAATATATTTTAGCTGAGCAAAATTATATACATTGAAGATATAAAATGGGAAGTAATCTGTTAAAGAATGATGTTGAAGATAGCACTATTTTGTTATCTTCCCCAAGTAGATGTGCCATTGATGCTTTCCCAGATCAAAATGGCAAAAGGGAACTTTTTAGCTGCTTTGCTCTGGGAATAAATGTCTTCGCATTGGCCACTTAGGAAATCTGTAGATTTTTCGTCTTGTTGGCTAGGGCCTATAAATAACGGATAGGGGAATGTGAACCTCAGTTTGGTTTCTGAGTATAATTAAATTATAGATTTGATGCTATTTTTTCCTTAATATTGATGATACGTATTTCTTTTTGCAAATAAAATAAAAATAGATGGAAGATAAAAAAATTTTAAAAAGAAGCCCCCCCCCCCCATTTCTAGGTCCGTTTTCCCACTGCAGATTATTTTATACGTACTGTTGTGGTAGATTAATTGTTAGATGGCAGACAATGTAAGTCTATTGTCTTTAATTTGGAACCACCCTCTAGTCTTAAGTTACTTTAAATTGCTGGCATTATTTGTACTGCACCAGTAGTTATTAGCATACAGTATTATTAGTAGGTAAACTCTTGGGTTAAGTATATGCTTTGAAAGAAACTTGTCTTTTTTTAAAAAAAAAAAAAGTCTTAAGAGCAGACTTCTTGTTTTCTTCATTAAAGCTAGTCATTCAACTAGTTCAGCACAGGGGAGGAGACAGACGCCTACTGAAACATTTCAACTCATTACTCACAGATAGAATAGAGCCCTGCTATTGTGCGAGAGAGAACTATATTTCTAAATCTTTAATAGGAACAAACTATTGGCTCCAAGGAACTGTAAGCAGAAGGGAAATAGCTAGTAGCACTGGTTTACAAAACCTTGGGCAAGTGCTGGAGTAGGAGTTCTTCTTCTTTATTGAATTTATATACACTGTGCTGTATGATGTGGATTCTGTAATAGTTCTCATCTTTTTCCTTGCAGAAGATTACATTTGGGTTTCATTTACAACACTCTAGTGCAGGAGTAGGGTAACGGGGCTCAACTGGCAGGCCAGGTCCCAACTCCCCACCCCCAGAGTGGCTCACAGGCCACTTTGACAGGTCAGTGGGTCTACCCACCTGGCAGTTACCTGATGTCAAAGGTCAAGTGTTTCCCTAGGAAACATGTTTCTTGCCCATGTGGCTTGATTTCAAGCTACACGGGCAAAGGAGGCATTTCCAGCAAGTGCTGATAAGCTAGTTGCCAATCACAGCAACCCCCACTTTGGGCAGGGAACTCCATAGTCCTGTCAACTCCAGCAGGGCTGATTGGCACTAACAGCAACCCTTGCTTCCAAACAACAATTGGGAGTGTACTTCAAGGTTCCTGATTATTCCTTTGAAGCTGCAGCTTTATCTGCCCCATACCTGGTGTCATATTAGGTATGGGGCAGGTGGGTGAGGTTGGGGAATGGCCCGTGATCTGGAGGTTCAACCCCCCCCCCCCCCAGTGCTCTAGTACAAGGTGTAAACCAGCCCATTTGTAAACAAGAAAGGCCTTTAACAACTTGGGATACAACTCATGGAATATAAATTCAAACTGTTAGAAATGTGACAAAGATTAGTAGTAAGTTTTATATGCCAAGGTGAATAGTCCTTAATCTAGTCAAATGCTAACTCTGAACGAAGTGCAGGTCCAACTGTTCTGAATTTCTTCACTTAATACTTCCCATCTCCAGATACCAAATATGAACACAGGAACCACTTTTGCATCCATAGCCAGTCATCCCACTTCATAAATTGTCCTTTCACCGCCTTGCTTTTTCCTCTTTCTTTGTGTCTTTTGAACTGTGAACCTGCTGTCTCAGAAAATGCTTTAATTTATGGGACAGAACTAAGTATTATTATAACATTGTTCATTAATGTGGAGCAAGCATGTTGCTTGTTCCACAAGCCCTAAGATGTTTGGAATTCCTAAACAAGCCCTCTGCCATTCTGCATGACTAATTACTTTTGAAACTGAAGGGAGTTTCACATAAACAGTTTTCTCAAACAGAAATTTCTCAAACAGAAATTTCCTTACACTGCACAGGAAGCAAATTGGGCAGGTTGTGGTTTTTAGCTTTAGGAAAAGGGACCAGAAAGTCAGAGTTAAGCAGCCTTTTTACTCATGTCCATCTTTTGCTTAGATAGAGCCTGTCCCAGGTGGCTTTGGGTTTCTAAAAATAAAAAATAAAACTGCAGAGAAGAATATCACAAATCTCCTCTTGGCATCCAGTTTGAGCCTTAGTTTTCTAAAATAAGAAATGGAGTAAACATTTTGCTCTACTGTTGTGTGAGATTTTGCACAGACATCCTGTTCAAAACTATAATACTTTAATTTAGTATCCTGTTTATTCTTATGGTCTTGCCAATAAATATCTGATAGAATTGTGACCAAGGGGAATATCTTGCTTTTCATGGTTCCACCTTTCATCATTATACAGTGCTTTCAATTTCTGTCTCTCAGGTGCAGCTTAGACAGGGCAAGGATGAATTTTGTTGAAGCTTAACGGTTGGCCTTCACGCATTAGATTCAATTCAGCCCGGTGGGCTGAAACAGCATGTAGCATGTTGTGAACCAAGCAGGCGAAAAGTATAGTGAAATGAGAAACTCCTTTCCCTTGCCCTACCTTAGTGGTAGCAAAGAAAAGCACAAATGCCTTTTATCTAAATAAGAAACAGTAAAGACATTTAGTCAAAATGGGTGAATATATTGTTTTGTTATTTAATATGCTTGTATTGTAAGTAACAGTCTAGAATATGCTTGTATTGTAAGTAACAGTCTAGAACATAAGTATCTGTAAATCAGAGTTGTTATTTTGTTAACTTTCATTTTGTATCTGCAGGGAATTCTCTGTATAAAAGATCACATTGGACTGAGTTGAAACCTAAATTTTTGAATTTCCCTCTTTTATGGTTTCAACTTTCATAGAATGTATTATATGAATATATGTTTTATTTCCAGTGGCATATTTCATTAGACATTCCATAGCCTTTTCATTGTTGCACAACCATCAGCTAATCTGTGTAGACATTCCCTTCTTGTGTTAGATTGTGTGTGCATGTATTTGTATGTTTTCACCAATTAAATGGCTGCATGTGGATCTTGTAAATTCACTTTCAAGATAAGCTTGAAACATTTATGCTTGAAACATTTATGCAATCATTAGTAAAAACCCTAACAGCAAGAACAAATACTTTACATATGTGCCAGAGTGTGCATGAAGCTGACAAAATAATAGTCTTGGAATACCCATTATAAAATCATTTTTGATACTCAAACTCTAAACACATTCAGGAAATGGTGCATAATATATTGCTCAGCATCCCCGGTCATCATTTTAGCAAAAGTTTCAGGTATAGACTTGTTGGCACCAAATAACTTATATTATTATATTTCGTAAAGTGGAATGTTCTAAATTAGAGTTAGAATCTGGACTTCATTTTTAACTAAATGAAATATAATTTATGTATAATACTTGGACTTATGAAGTAATATTGAATGTAAAACTATATCACATTAATATAAAATAAGAGCATGGTATGCAGTACAATGTCAGTGAAAGCATAATATGTTTACTTATTTATATTTGCAAACAGGGATTGGAACTGCTCATCTCTTTTTCTTTCTCCCAATACTTTCTTAGCTTTTCTTTTTTATCATTTGATGCATGTTTGAAATTGAATCAGTGAAATACAATTCTCAAAATAGTTACACATGGGCTAAAAATGGATGCCATCCCCCCCCAACCCAAAATGGCAACACTCTTCATCATTATTTGAAAGTACATTAATTTGTGAGTCCAAGTGACCTTCCACCGGTTTCTTGTGTGTCTCTCTCTTGATTTTATTTATATCTCTTTTGATTTTCACTGTGCAGCAAACTTACAAAATTCTATAGCTTTTGGAGAGTAAGAAACATACCAAAGTTTTCTTGTTATTCTATAATCAGAAAGCGCTGGGAAAAGACTTTTCAGCAGTGAAAACATGGAAACCAATCCCTCTTCCTAGTTAACTGTCCTAGTTAAAGGACTGTCTTACATTTGTTATGGATTTAGGAGGTGGGAGAACTTTTTTTTTTTAGTAAGCAAGCTTTGAAATTGAACAACAAATGTAAAAAGAAATATTTGTAAATTAATGTTGAGTTTTCTAAAATGAATCTATAGTGTTCAATGCATTAGAACCTAATCTAGGAAATACAAGTGCAACAGCATTCCCATTTGGCTGATTTGGACGAGAGTAAAAACCTCTTGCTGTGCTGGTATGTTGTTAGGTGGATTGAGAGCAGGCAGTAGTGTAGTGTGGCCAGACTCAGGTCAGGTTTTTCCTATTTTCTTACCCCCCTACTCCCCGCCCATATCTTCCCAATAATGGATTGGTGCTGTGGATGTGGTGGGAGATGTAAAAATATTGATTCCAGTAAAAGTAACAGCCATTTCCGTGGATTGGGATGCCTGTGAGTTGTGTTGTTCTGCATTTGCATTATGTTCAACAGTGCTGTGGTAGACTCTACTATCCAATAGTCTGCATTGTATGAGTTTATTTTTCTGGGTCTGTGACTCTTACCCCCCCCCCCCTTTTCCCTATGATGTAACCAGGTCATAATGATGAATGTCGCCTCACCTGCATCAAATATATCATTAGTCAAAAGAGAGAAAGGGAATAATAAGGGTGAATAGAGTTATAAGAATGTATCGTTGGTTCAACAATTAGACTTTTGTGACAAATCAGGAAACATACCTTATATTTGTGTGAAATTCCCGGGATCCCTTAGAAGACTCTGTCCTCTGATGGTTAGGGGGTCAATCACTCAGCTGTTATGTTAAGTCTGGAGTCAAGTGGCTTAGAAAGTCTTCACCTGCCAGTGAAAGTACAAGAAGGAGGGAGCAAGTCTAAATTCTCCAGGAAGGGAGCTCCAAAGTCTGAGAGCAGCCACTCAGAAGGCCCTCTCCCATTTACGTGAATACGTCCACACAATACAATATGGGGTGAGATATACTAATCTTAGTATCCACCCAGGCCAGAACACAGATAATTAAAATGTAAACATATATTTAACTGGGCAACATAATAATCTGGAACAAGTAATATTAATAGTGCTAATAGCCTAAACTAACATACTGTTACAGTTATCCTAAGTCTTTATACTTTCATTTTTATTGCCATCTCCTCTCTGTCCCTACAGAACTATCCCAACTCTTCATCTGCCATTCTTAGCCATCATTTCCCACCTCACACCTACTGTGACTCACACTCTCTTCCAGTCCAACATTCTCTAAATGAAACTCCACCCATGGAAGTATAGATTCTAATCATGTTGTGTATACAATAACACTGTAAACACCACAAATATTAGACTTACTGATGCTGAGACTTGCCAGTAGAAGTATTGTTTCCTCCAATTATTGTTGCTAATATCTAATAATGTGTTATATATTTATTTAGAAGATTTAAAAATCTTCTAAATTTTTTATAGTGGAACTGCCTTTCACTACAAAGTTATAGGGCAGATTACTACAACAGAAAATGCAATTATAAAACAAATAAAATCATTACAATTATAAAATACGCAAAACCCATTCCAAATGAGCAGAACAATATAAATTCAGCAAAATATTTTAATTAATTAATTAATTAATTAACTAGCTCTTCATTGTTTATTTATTAGACTGGGAGACTGGTATGCATGTTTTCCCTTCTGCTTAAAGGGCGCTTGAGGATCAGGCTCTCTAGAAATCTTTAGAGACGGGAATGACTAATTAAAAGATTTTAGTCGTGTACTTTGTGTCTATTAAAGCTGTATTGAAGGAAGCTAACAACACTTCATTTAAAATGCAATAAACTTATGCATAAGCAGTTCACAGATTAGCCTCATTACTTGAAACTTTTACATTTTGCTGACATGGAACTCTCATGATAGGAGTCATTTGCATAGGGAAGCACAGTACACCTTATGTTATCTCCATCATAGTCATGACATGTTGCCCTAGCATAGCTTTATATACTTCAGTTACTTTTGGTGAGCAGTGTTCATGTGTTGTGAGTATAGCATGCTCCTTTATTCATGTAGATTAACTTGTGCTTTCTAGATTTTCGATACATCCTTTGGAAGCAAGACATTGTTTTCAGTGGAGCTTGCCTCCATGTAAACATGCTTAAGTCAGATCTTCAGCTGGAGATAGGAAATACTTTTAAAGAGATTTAAAAGTGGTTTCACTTCTCACAGTTGTGCATACGTGTTTGTCCTCATCACCTGTACAGTCAAACAGGGGGCTTTTTTGGTGGTGGTGGGATATAAAACCTGTAGACCAAAGCCAATGTAGAATGAGTGTACACACCACTAGCAGACATCCTACTTTCAAACCATATTCAGCTATCTCAAAAATACAATAATCTAGTTTTAACATGAGTTTAAGAGAACTCTGATTTTTGTTTTTTTGGAATATTTTCCCAATCTTAAGTCATTGCGCCCCACAGGATTCCACTGGAACAGTGAGACATCTTTTTCCTTTCCTTCCCCCCTCAAAATCTGCTACAGAGAGTCCCCCGCCCTCCAAAGCCAATTTTGAGGGCACGCAATGGCCTAGAGGGGACAGGAGAGGAGGCAGAAGTTCTGTTACATGCACAGAAGTCCTTTGCACCAGTAGAGCTGCACTGGATACGGACCACGAGTATCATCTGATTGTTATTATTTTTACAAGTTGGCTGTATGTAGCTTTTTCCCCTTTGGCATTTTCCAAAATCAGAATACAACAATCAGTCTGCCCAAGCAACACAGAAATGCAGGAAAACAAGAAATGTGGAGGGGGTTGCATTTTCTGTATCTCCTCCTGCCCAATTATTGACACATCTGAAGCAGCCAAGGATCCAGGCTGAGAACAGATTTTGCCCAAGGCTGCCAGGATCCTTACTTTAAATATATACTTGATTTAACATTTTAAATTTAATTATACTTTTACCTTTGCTGCTCGAACGTGATGTTGGGCTGTGATTGATGACACATAGAAATTTGGCTATTTGAAGTTCTGCAAATTCAAATTTGGCTATTTGAAATTCTGCAAATTAAAATCTAGATGTAGGGATAATTTTGTTTTTTTATCAATTGGACATTTTACTATCAAATAAAATAGAGCCCCTAAGAACATAAGTAACTTTTTGATGACCTCCATAACCTTCAAGTGACACACAGACTAGTAGATACCTAGTCTCTGATCCAGATACAGTTTTTCACAACATGTACAGTCTGAGATGTGCATGGTATTATCGACAGTGCAAATGAGAAAAGGCCTGAAAGCCCTCTGTCTTAATGTGTATCCTAATATGGACACAGGGCACAGGTCTACATGTGCAGTTCCTGATCCAGCAACGGAATCTGTGTGCAGATTTTTCATTCATTTGGAATTAGATCTCACTGAATATGAACACAATGCATATTTGAAGTGTCTTTTCACTGTGTAGTTGTGTGTCTCAGTGATGTCTGTCCTGTAGTTCTGTCACACCTGTTAGAACCTTACTCCTTTGTCCTGCTGATCAGCTCAGGAACTGCCATGTTTTACCTGTACAGAATATATCGATTCAGGAGCTTCAGGCTCAACTTGAGCAAGAGGTGAAACTTCGCCAAGAGGAGCAAGAAACATTTACAGAAAAGATAATTCAGGTAAATGCATAATGCGGTTGTTGGAAGAGACCTTTGTCTGTTTTTCTGACTATCAGTAACTCCTTAGTTTGTGGTAAGAATTTAGAAGTTGCTTAAATATGTTTCAGTACTGTTTCATAGATAGTTTTGTTGTGGATTGGCAGACTTGTGGAAATACAGTTAAGAGAAAATTAATTGGTGTTAACAGGAACTATAATTCTGGCTTTCAGTCATATTGCCAAGATGATAAATCTCAAAGTTACAAGGATCTTTCTAGATCCAGAAATATCGTATGCTGTAAGGCTCTGCAGTTTTCATACTCTCTATAGCCCAATTCTACCTCTTGAAAATGTTGTAAAACTCACATAGCCCAGGAATCTAATGAAAGGAATGGCCTCTGAAAACAGTATTATTATTTTTTGTAGGGTATGTTCTAGAACCATTTTTGTTGATTAAAATTACCTAGTTTGTTATTGGGTCTAAATCAATTGACATGGAAATTTGGCCTCTGTTACATTCCCCCCCCCCTTACTTACAGCCAACTAAAATGTACATGATTGTGTCAATCAATATCTGTTAAAAGTAAATCCTTCAGGATCAGAAGTCAGGATAGGACTTAAATAACTTTTTTTTCCAAACAGAAATTTACCACAAAGTAGTTTTCTTTTGTTCTTTTCATTGTTTCATTGGTAATATTTGGCAGAGATAAAACAGATGTGAAAGTAGTAGATGTGACTGCGTGGCAAGTGTGCTTTCTCACTGAAGCATAAATCTTCTAAAACTATGGCAACTCTGAGATTGTGGACTGTTTTATTTCTTCATTTTCTGGTTAAATAGCCTGGGTCGCGCCAGGCTATTTATTTAGATATATTAAAATAGCATACAATAGTAGCAATAGTCTCCATCAGTAGGATTTCTTCTGCTTCCAATGATGATTCCCTTATTGTTTTAGCAGCATTGGTCCTGGAAGGCCAGTAGCTCTCCCTCCTTAAGGCAAAGAAAGTACCATATTTCAGAAAGGAGAAAGGGAGAGGAATGAGCTATAATTACTGAAGCTCTGGGTGTCTTATAATGACTAGACAAAAATAAATTTAGCAAAGACAATTCACATACAGCAGTAGCAAGGTCAGGATCATATGGTGAGCATATTGAAAGGATGCAGTGAAGAGAACATAGAGCATAAAAATGTTTATGCTGCACAAGTCTGATGCAGCTTGTTAAAGTAAATGAGCTGTGTATTTCCTCAGTAGATTATTCACATACGCTTAATTAAATTAAGGATACAGCCTGTGTTCTTCAGGTTCCTCAAAAATCAGATCCGCTGCCAAACACAGATAGCTGATGATAATTAGAATGAGCAACCTTGGTTTATCTTGCCCAGATTTTAAAAACACACACAAGAATGAACCCTCAAGGGCGATATCCTGTTGATGTTGTGCATGGTTGTTCTGTTCAAAGCTGGAAGAGGACCATCTGCAGAACCTACGGAGGAAAGACTTGGAGGTGCAAAGCTTAACTTTGCAGAACAAATTGGAAGAGAAGACCTGGAGTCAGGAGAAAAACCTGATGCATCAAGAACTCAGGCATTTCAAGCAGAACACCTTTCTCCTCTATGCCAAACTGAAAGGGCTGCTGAAACAGTGGCGACAAGGCAAGAAATTGGAGGAGCAAGGAGAGGATGTTCTTAAGGTAAGTGTCCCTTGTCATTTAATGGAGTGAAACTACAAGGAAAAGTGATGTGGATAGTTCTGCTAGGAACAAAATAGATTTTAAGAGATAACCTTGCTTCAAGTTCAGGTGTCAGAGCATCCTGAACTGTAGTATTGGAATCAGTGTCACATTGATTATAGAGCAGAAAAATGCTGAATTGGAATCTGAAGCTACCTGTCTCTGGTATTTTTTTTGAAAGAGATTTGCAGTGTGGGCCTAGCTGTACAGCTATTCTCAATTACCTGTTACTTATCTCTACATCAATCCTGTCTGACAGAAATCTGTGAAGGAAATCAATAGCCTTATAGGCCGTTCTCCCTCACCCAACACCCAGGGTCCCAAGAAGCTGGCACTGAACTGAAAAGATTTACAATAATCAGTCTATTAATAGTTTCAGATCAGTTTGGGGGTCATAGCAATATTGTGCATTTTAGGTAAAATGTGCTCTGAATAATGAAAATACGCTTTGTTTGAAAACTAACAGAAGAGCCCTAAAACAGCATTTTGTGAGGAAGTAGAAGTTGTCATTCATTCTGTTTTCCACCCTCAAAATATTTGGCTCTATCATGAGTGAACTGTTTTCTTATGCAGCTCCTAAATAATGCATTATAGAAAATAGGAAGGAAGAGAAAAGCATATCGCTCTTTGAGACTACTCTACTAAACCACCTCAGGAGGGGGGGAATTACCCTTTGAATCCAAATCATTCAGTCTCGCACGTAGCTAACATGGTTATCATGTCTGCTATGTTCGTTCATGTTCGTTGGCTTTGTACTAAACTAGATATCTACATTATCAAAAGTGAGAAGAATATGTTACCTTTTGAATGAGACAAGGGTTTGAGCTGTGGAATTTTACATTTTTAAAGCTTCCATATATGCTATAAAATTTCCATCACTATTGTGGTGGCCATATCACTAATAATGATTATTTACAATGCCTATTGTATGCATAATGGCCATAATGAAATTAGTCTGCACTTAATATTACCATGCCAAAGCAAAATCTCTTCAAGATTCTAGACACTGTTTAATATTATTAAAATTAAACAAATTGCATGTTTAAAATAGGTAATGATCGTCTTCTTTGAATCTGAAATATACATTTGCCATTGCACATTTACAGCTTGAACCAAAGCTGTGTGTTCACAAAGCCTTCTTCCCATCCCAACTTTATCTTCTAAGGAATGAAGTATTCCTTATGAAATAAAGTCATGGAAGGGAATGAGGAAACCCTGCACATACAGTGTAACGCATGCTTGTTCGGAACTTCTGGATCCAAACATTCAGACAGCAATGTTATCTTGATTTTATTCACTTGCTATTTTAGTTGGAACACCTTGAGTCCCTGCCAGAATTCAGCTTTCAGTCTGAACAAAAGCACGATGAACGGGACGAAGAGGAAGAGGAGGAAGTGTTTGGACTGGCAGACTACTCCCAACATTCCACCGTGGAGATAATGGACCATGGACCACCACTGCAGACTGCAGAATTGTTGCAGCATCAAAAGCAGGTACCAAGGCAGGTGCTTACTGTGTCTGATACTTACTTTCCTTGGATTGTATTCAACATTAATCATACTCAGTGTAGACCCACTCAGGTTAATGGACACTGCTCACTTAGGTTCATTAATTTCAATGGGTTTACTTTGAGTAGAACTTGGTTGGTTATAATCCCTCATGTTCTGCAATATGTAAAACTCATTTGATCACAGCATGCCAGTGATCCTAATTACATAGTGGTGTTAATGTGTTTCACTTATTATGTTTATATTAATCAGGAGAAAAAGGAATGATATGATTGCTGGTGCCTTTCTGACTGATACTTTAAATGAAATATTCCATTTCCTATCATGGCTTATTCCTCAGAAACATATATATTTGTCTGATGGTTTGCAATATCTACAGGCTCACCACCTAAGCATCATAGAATGTACCATCTAACCATTTGTGTGTGGGGCTTTTTATTTCATATAAATAATTAAAGAAGAAGACGTATGCTTTAATTTATTTAATGAAAGATAGATATGGTGCAAGAAAACCCTTTTACTGCAATGGGTGCTTTTAAAACAAGCTACTTAATGTTAATATCTTCTCCCCCACCCCAAGTGGATTGAGAGGTTTACCTATTTTGAGCCTGACCTAGATTCATATGCAGCATTTGGGCCTCAGGAAATACCAATAGATACATTAAATCAGCAGTGTGGTTTCCAAAATAGCAGCAGTGACTTGGGGTGCAATGCAGAGCCTTTAAAAATCATTGGCAGTTTATCCAATGTTCTTTGATATAAAGCCTTTGAAAAGGCTCTGTTTCAGGATGAATATACAAGCCAGAATTATGTATTTAGAGGGGAAGTAACTCACTGTTTAATAAGATATTCCAAAGGCAGTAAAAACACAATACTATCAATACAATGACACTAATAAAATTCAATAAAACACTCAAATAAAAACAAACAATAATGACAATCAAATAACTACTTTAGACAGCAGTGACAAGCAGCAATTACAGCACTGATATATTTAGCAACCAAAAGCTAATTTGGAAAAAAGTTAAAAATAAAAAGCCTGCTTTAACAGATCATACTTCCAGAACTGGTGGATTTCTTGTGGGAGATGGTCTGCAATTTTGTGGCTGTAACGAAAAAGGCCTTCTCAGGCATCCTAATGAGTAGTCACCATTCCCCATCCTCAGACTGCTTTAGGTGTAACATCATTTTTAGTAAAATTGGTGGCTGTTGCTTTATTTGCCCAGAATGTACTGCATTAAGCACCTACTAATGCAATTTTTAATTATGGAAATAAAATTGGGCAATATTTCCCTGACTCATTGTCTTTAGAACCTCTGCCTATAAAAGGATGTCCTGACAGGAGTAATCCAGCGACTATTAAGACACAGAATAGCATTTCTGAACAAATGGACTACAGTATATTATATTTCTGTGAAAGTAGATCAAAAACAAGAAAGGAAGTAACTGCCACTCTAGAGTAGCCCATGTGTTGTTGTTTTTTATAGGCTGCCTGACAGTTTCAACATCTGCAGAAGCTTCTCTTCTTCTGGCCCACAAAGGGCATTTTCTTTAGAATAAATTTGAGAGAAGGGAGGGATGGGGAGCAGCAGTGGTTGCCCAGACACATTAAGTTTTGACTCATCAGGACTTGAAATAAGCCATATCATTTGACCTCATGAAGAACCTACCACCACTCCTATTGGTCCGAATTTATAAGCAGAAGAAACATCAAGCTATACTGCACAGTGCAGGGTAGTCCTGGCTTCCATGTGAACTGTTGCTGTTTATTCATTCACATTAATTCACATACCCCTACAGTGCTGAATGTTTCATTGTGAATGGAAAGGATAAACAACAAAAGTAGAAAAACGTAAACATGGATGCTAGGTAAAGGTAAAGGGACCCCTGTCCATTAGGTCCAGTTGTGGCTGATTCTGGGGTTGTGGCGCTCATCTCGCTTTACTGGCCGAGGGAGCCAGCGTACAGCTTCCGGGTCATGTGGCCAGCATGACTAAGCTGCTTCTGGCAAACCAGAGCAGCGCACAGAAATGCCGTTTACCTTCCCGCCGGAGCGGTACCTATTTATCTACTTGCAATTTGACATGCTTTTGAACCGCTAAGTTGGCAGGAGCAGGGACTGAGCAACGGGAGCGCATCCCATCGCGGGGATTCGAACCGCCGACCTGATCGGCAAGTCCTAGGCTCTGTGGTTTAACCCACAGTGCCACCCGTGTCCATGGATGCTAGCTTTGGTGTATTTTCACTCTGCCTATCTTGTAGGGCGTCACCACAGTGCAAAGCACCAGGGCACATATCCTTGTTTTTCCTCAGAGTTGTCCTTGCCTTCAGAGGAATGTATTCTTGCAGAGACTACTGGATAGCTCAGTTGTTTAGAGCATGGTGTTGATAAATACAAGCTTCAATCCCCACATGGGACAGCAGCATATTCCTGCATTGCAGGGGGGTGGGCCAAATAATCCTCAGGAACCCTTCTAACTCTACAGTTCTATCATTCTGTGACTCTGTAGAGGCAAGATCTAGCAACAGCCCTGCTTCATGAGAGAAGTGAAACAAAGGTCCTATTTGACTTTTGAACAAGGAACCTAGATTTTTGAGCACACTGAGAATTGCCTCTCAGTCATCATAGTACTGTTACACACAATGATAGACTCTATTTTGTGGCTTTTCATAAAAATGTACTTTCTTCCATAACATTTTTTCATAGGCATAGAAGTTAAGCAGCATCCTCTTATGCTTTCTTTTCATCTCTCTTCTGAGCTATGGCACAGGCTTCCTTTAATCCAGGGGTCAGCAACCTGTTTGAACCAGCAGGCATATTTCGAATTTTGAGAGAGTGCCGTGGGCCTCAGTCACAAAATGACTGTCATGGAGACTTGCCATAACACAACGTGACTGCCATGGCGGGCAGTGGCGGTGACATAATACAAAATTAGAGGCTTTAGAGTCATTACTGCTCCCCCCCCGGCCCCAGACAACCTGAAGTCAGCTACATCTTGCAGGTCCTGATAGTGGAGATCACAGTATTGATTTTACACACACAAACACTTCATATAAACATTTCTCCCCATGAACACACTCTCTCTATCCAAGTACGCCTCTCCTTCTCACACTGACATGGGCATCTACAGGATTTGGGGGCTGGTCAGTGAGGGGAAAATGAAAACACTTAAACAGTACAGCAGACTAATTTCTCATTTTAGGTGCTGGATTTGCAATCACTGGGTTAGGCATTCCAGAGAAGATGAGATGAAAAAGTTTTGAAAACATAGTAATAGGGGTGTGGGTTCCCACTCTGGATGTGCCAGACACCAATACACTTTTGATGCAGCTGAGTTTGATATTATGGGCATCTTTGACTTGGTATCTTAAAGTTGTGGGCTGAATCGTTTTGTTTTGTTTGTTTTATAAACCAGGAAATCGCACTATAGACAACCCAGGCTTCTGAGGCTTTTTTCCTCCTATTTCTTTGGTAGGAAGCTAGCATTCGGGGTGTTTTTCATGCAGCTGATCACCTTGACAAGAACGTAGAAAACAAGAACAACAACAAAAACCCACCCCTTATTTATCCCAAGATGTTTGAAAAGACAGTTTAATGTTTTAAAATTACAAATAGCTTTTGCTTCTGCAGGCACGAGAAAACCGCAGGCTTCTACATGCCCTAAAAATACTGTTGGATGACTTCCGATCTGAGCTCCGGGATGATGAACGAGAACGTCATGGCCTCCAGCAGCAGTATGCCACTGACAAAGCTGCTTGGGAAGTGGAATGGACTAAACTGAAGTGTCAGCTGGAGCAGGTACAGTCCCCATTGGGGAAGGGCAGTAGCTCAGCAGCACAGGATCTGCTCTGCATGCAGAAGGCCTTAGGTCCAATATTTGGCATTTCCAGGTAGGGCAGGGAAAGGCCATATTTTCAAATCCTGGAGACCTGCTGCCAGTGGGTGTAGACCACTGAGCTAGATGGACCAACACAAACAAGGTAGCTGCAAATATGTCTGAAACAACAACTTTGAATGAACCACCAGCTCTTATTATTGTTTAATCAAATTGTAGGATGGATTCAGGTGCACTTACTCAAATAACTAGTGCCTCATTCTCTAGATGGTTTCCCTGATGTGATGCTGTTTGGAATAGCTATTTAATGGGAGTAGACAGTATTAACATTTTGCTTTTATTTAATCTTATTAAATTGTAGAATCTTATTAAGTCCTAGAAATTGTGGTTTTGTGTCTCCCTGTTGTAAGTGGTTTTGATTTTTAATTTAATGTAAAATTTTTATGTTTGAGTAATTTATTAATTGTGCTTTATTGCATTTATTCAGTAAAGTATTGCAAATTACAGCAGATGGTTTGTGGCAGGCATGTTCTAAGCCATAACAAATGTATTTTTTGATGCTATTATTTTACATCAGGCACAGGTGGTGAGAGCAAAAATGACAAGAGCCCCCAAAAAATAATCATATGGTAGCATTACCTAATTTCAGTGAGGATAAAAGTCAGAAAGCTACTGGATGTAATGAATGATAAATTAAGTGGGGGGGGCATGAGTAGTAATCTTGCAGTTTAGGTAGAAATGCAGTTGTGTCTGCAACTGGTGATGGCCAGTGAATGGGGATTCTTCATTCTTTCCCTGCACAAGTTCTTCACCATAGACACCAAGAATAGGGAGACTGTGTAAGATCTCCATCAAGCTATTCATGACACATGCCTAGAACAGCAGACAGAGATGACTGCTTCACAGCTTTGTTGCATAGATACAGACAGATCACTTCTTTGAAACTGCTCCAGAGTCATGGTATTGGTTCAATTGGAATATATTTTAGCTGAATGTAATCCTAATTATTGATAATGAACAAGGAAGCTCCCAGGATGTGTTTATATGGCTGGGAAGAGCTGCATAACATTCTGTGATTTCAATATGACATCTTTGCAAGGAACAGGGCATTGGATACAGAAATAGGAGAACACCCACACCCCCTTCACAGGCTTACTCTGATTCATAATACAGCTATCCTCCAGCTCAGATAATAGCTTGAACTGCAAGAAAAGCTGTGGATTGTAATACTTGCCTTAGATTGAAGACAAGTATAATGAGTTGCTGAGGTTGTATTCAGAGCCAAAGAATTACAAATTTTGGTGACATGTCTAATTGGATTTGCAGCCTTAATCTAGCAATTAGGCAAGTATGGAGTCCTTGTATGACTATTATACTATAGCTACCTCTTTTAGAGCAAAGCTGTGCTTCAGAATGTTAAGGCATGTTTGTAAGAATCCCCTTGTCAACTGGGTAGCAAAGCCCAGCCTTTACATCTGCCATCAAAAGAGATGTTGACACTAACAACCTTTGTTTCATTTATAGCTGGAAGGGAAGAGCGAAAAAGCACAGAGTGAGACTGGTCTTGAAGCAAAGGCAGCTTTCAAGAGAGAGAGGGAGGAGCACAAGAAGCTCCTGGCTGACAGTCACCGATTAGTTATGGACTTGCAGTGGCAAATCCAGCACAGTGAGAAGAACTGGAATAAAGAAAAGGTAGAGCTTCTGGAGCAGCTCAGCAAGGACCGGCAGGAGTGGGAGAGGCAAAAGAAGGAACTGCTGAGAAGGCTCGAGCAGGTAATTCGGATGTCAGGTCATGATGGAATGTGTCTGCACAACTATATTGCAAAAATTAAAAAGGAACTATACGGCTTTCTTTATATAAAAAACAAAAAACTGCACAAACAGGGTAAACACTCTGTTTCATTGTTTCTCATAGCAGATAATTACAGAAGCCCAAGGGACCTAAGGAAGAATGCTTCCAAAACTAATTTTAGAAGCCTCACTAGTGTTTAGGAAATTAGTTAAAGGTTAAAGGCTATTTCCTGTCATTTCATTTCTCCCACAAAGGCAAAGTCACTCTGACCTTTAGAATGCAAAGCTTTCTTGTTCTCAGAACACAAAATTATATTCCTTTTCCTTCTTAAAAAATCAAGATCTGCACATTGTAGTCTACTTCTCATTTTTAATCCTGTGGTTTCCTCTCACAAGAATGATTTCCTAGTGATTTCCTAGTGTGAGTAGTTGTGATGTGTAAGCCATAACCCTCTAACCAATCGCAAGGCTGTCTCTGAAAACTCTTTGTCTCATTGAACCTTACTTATAGTCCAAATGAAATATCCTACCTCATGTTGATCTTTTGCATACTACTGAATCATATAAAAGCTGAATTCTACTGTCAGCTGTTATAACAGAAAACCTCACAAGACAGATAGTCACCTCTTTAGTAAAGACTCTCCTCCCTGGAAGAGAGGGGAGTGGTTGTGGGCGGGAGACCGAGCTCCGCCCCTGGTAGGGGGCCTTAGCCCCCTCCCCTCCTTACCTGGCTGGCGCCCACGCCCACTGGAGGCAGCCAACCAGGTGCCTCAGGGGGGCGTGTGTAGCAGCTTAATGCTGTGGCGCCAGCTCCGCCTCCTCCTCATTCGTCGTCGTCCCTCAGCAAGTCACCCACCCTCCACTCCCATTTAGCTCAGGGTCTAGGTTTATGGCCTTGCTATGGACCTTAGGTTGGTCGCCCCGGTTGTCTGGGGGGCCTGGTAGGAATTTTTCCATTTGGCATTAGGCTTTTTGGTTTTTTCGCCTACCTCGTAGCAATCGTCACAACTTTTTTGGTATTGGTGGGTAGGTTAGGCATTGGATTCATGTGTTGTGCTGTGTCAAGGGCTAGGTGTGGCCATCGCCTATGCTATCTACCGTGGGTTATTCCGTTAAAGGAATCTGGCGGTCGTGTATTCCGTCCGATGCCTGCTTGGCGGGAGGCCATGGCACGACCCTCGGTGACATCAGGGGGTGAGCCTATAGTTGGATTGGCATCAACAGGCTCCACCTACTGTTGAATAAACCCACCTCCTATAGTCATCCAATGCCTAAGCCAATACCTTTTCACTGCTGTAATCAATAAAGTTGTGGCCTTTCCTTGCCCATTAACCTTATATCACGTGTCCTTGCGTATTTATTTCACATAGCGGGGGTCAGGCCCTCGATCCACAACCGTATCAGCGTAGCTCTTTCATGACAGGCTACCAACTGAGGAAAAAACCCTGTACATTGTATCTCCCAGCTTCAATAAAGCAAACTTTCTTTCTTTCTTTTTATAACATATTTATTGAAATTTTCACAAAATCCAGAAAAAAGAAAAAGAAAAAAGAAAACATTTACCATTTAAACCTTATTTTCAATAACATCTTTCCAAGACTTCCCCACACCTCCCCTTCTTGTATTCCATTTCCATTTATTTAGTTCAACAAGTTCTTATCCCTGATTTTGACCTTATTGTATTTAGCTCATTATTCAATTTAGTTCATTTTAAATAGCCACTTTCATCTTATAATCCACAGTCTTTATACATTAAAATCTTTTTCTAGTCGACCCCAATTCCCTTCCACGAATTCCCCTTTTTTATACTCATAGCAAAACAAAATAAAGAAATAAGAAAAAATCAAAATATAATTGTACACCCTTTGGATTCCCAAGCTCCAACCCCCCTTTCCCGGTTTCGATCCCCAATGTCCATCAGTCTATCTGCTATCAGCCTGGAGACCTCACATCTGAGGCCCTTAATTCTCTCTCAGTTCCTCTTTGCCGGTTTTTTTTGATAGTCCTTTATACCAAACACCAAATCTCGGAGAAGCTCTATCTCGAAAATGTCCATTTTTCTTCCATCCAGACCTCTATATCTAAAAGTAGAGCTCGAAACTTGTTTCTTAATCCTTTTGAGTCTGAATGTCCCAAATGCTCCAACTTCCATCTTGATCAGATTTGTAATCCATAGGTCTTCAGATCTCCACATCAGGAGATCTCTCCAATCTTCCTTGACCAATTCAAACCAAATTTTCATCATCCAATTCTTGTTTTTCTTTATGTCCTTCCTAACAGGCCTCTGGCCTTCCTTGATCTTCTGCGGCGTTGTAACTCCTCCTTCATTCCCTTCCAGATCATCATGTAACTCTTGTTCCCTTTTATCACATTTCTCAGGTTTCTCTTCCTGCTCAGCTGCAAAAACTTTTGATTCCGCTACAAGGATTTTTTGTTCAGGAACAAAAACTTGAGTCAAGTCCCTTCCAATTTCAGTAAATTTATTTACCGTCTTATTCAGTGTTGAGGCCCTTGTAGTCAAAATATTGCTTTGTTCTTGAAGCTTTCCCAGGAGATAAAAAGTCCTGTTCAGCTCAATGAGTATTTTTCCACTTACAGCCATTCTTGTAATGTCCCAAAACCCCCTCTAGAGGGATTATGGTTACTTAGTATCCTTCCAGTTTCAACCCAAAAGTCAAAATAACTTGTTCTTCCTTGTTTTCAACAATTTATATTCAAATTGTAACAAATCTAGCCAGCAAAGGCACCAGAAACAAGGTTCTCTTTTTATTCCCCAACTTTGACAGCTACTTTGACAGCTGTCAAAATCTTTGTATCTCTTCGCCAGGCTCTCTCACGGATCACTCCCGGTTCCCGGGGGGTTGCACTTCAACTCTCAAAATCAACTCTTATCCTCCAGCAAAATTACTTGTACTTTCCAATCGTGAAATTAATAACTTTTATCCAATAAGGAAAAGGATATTCTCTCAACCTTAGTTATCTAGTCCTTGCTTTAAGTTGTTTACAAGTCGGGGAGACGGACTTCCTCTTTGCGCCTTCCCCGATCGTGCCAAATCCAAAAAGAAAATTTCCCTTTTTAAGTCCAGTTTCCGTATTACTCACGGGTTGTTGCTTTTGATCCAAATGTTCAAAGGAAGAAGTCAGCGCTCTCCGTCCATGGCATGCGGCTTCACTCAGCAGGGGAAGCAGAAGACTCTCAGCACCGCACCGCTCCCTGTCCCCCGTTCCGTAGCCTTTAAAAAGGCTCCTTCACGGGTCGGGGGGCGCAAATGGTGCCCACCGAGTCACCACGTCCACAGGCTTCCGCGCCTGTGGTTTTTAAAGGTCCCCGCGTCACCGGCGCAGCAGGACCCGACCCCTGCTGAGCTGATTCCCTCCGGAGCTCGGAGGGAATCCACCATTAGGCGATGGCGCTAACCCGGAAGTCCCTTCTTTCAGTTTGCTGAGGAAGGGGAAATGACTATTCACAAACCGAAATAATTTATAAACAGAACAACGTTCTTGCGTTTAAATTCATTTTCATAATGTTAATTCCTAGGCGGCAGCACTCCTCTTTAACCTAGGAAACTTTCAGAAATTTGTACATCTTTGGATCAATATATCTTCTTAGCAGTTAGCCAGATCATACTTTCTGTGGAAGCAATTAACTTATCTCTGGTATTTTGCATGGCACTCTGTGTGTTTGGAGACATCACAGTGATATATACGTAAAACAAGAAGGCAAATAATCTGAAGCATTTAAAAACAGAAATAGAGGATTGTGGCATAATCAGTATGTATTCACCATAATCACTGACCATTTTTCTTTCTGTTTACTTTAACCATAATGTAGGAAAGCAAAACATCCCCAGATTTATGAAGCATGAAATAGATCATTTGGGATAATTGTGGAAATAGAAGCATGCTGACCTACATTTCTCAAGGCTTCCAAATATTCTCTTTCAAGTTCACTGCTACAGTGTTATCTCTTGAGACACAACATCAAGCCTAATTTTGTACTGATGGTGACTGCACGCTTTTAGGTTTTCAGATTAATTATTTCACAGCTCTTTTTTTTTTTTTTTTTTTTTGCTGTTTAATTATGAAGAGGAACCTTTTGCTGTTCTAGTATATTTATGTACACACAGACAGTTCATTGCCAAATCCTTGAACGTGTGCATATATTGGAGACTAGTGATAGACTTCAAATGTGATTCAGCATATGCCACCCCTGCAAGTCTTCCTGTGTCTGTGTTGACCACAGATTCACCCCATGCACAGCAGGCAGGGGAAGTTCACAATTTTAAGTGCTGATAGCAGGGTCTACCAGGTGGAAAGATGCTAAAATCCCACTTAATGTGGTGCCTGTGCCCCCAACAGCTTTCTACTCTTCCCAGCATGAGCTAAATAATTGTGCCTGACACCTATAATCCACACAGGCACTGTACTAGTTGTTGCACTGATCTGTGTTAGTCCAAATAAAAATATTAGGGTGAGAACAGATGGTACAGACAAGTTGGAACCTTCTCTGATATTTCTTTCCCCTCCTAAGTATAGCACTAAAGCAGCTGGAGGATACTGCCATTTGAATGCAGCCTAACACGGCAATCCTGTGCATGTTTACATGAAAGTAAATCCCGTTTTGTCCTATTAAATGTATTTAGGATTGAAGCCTAAGGCATTGAACAAGAAGTTTCCATGTAAGCGTGCTCTTGCCATCAGAAACACAAACTAGGAACTGCCTTTTCCTGAAACATCTGAGTTGAAACGAGTTTATGGAAATAATCAATCTTTCTACCTTTTTATTTGAAAACATCAATATGATATTTAAGTTTCATATATATCTATATTTAAAGTGGGATAAGATGAAATAAGCAGACAACTACTGTGAAAGCTACTCTGTATTCAGTTGATGTATGATTAATTTCTTTCTCAGCTTCAGAAAGTAAATCCACAAAGAGGAGACAACATTCTTTGTGACTCAAAAGAAACTGGCCTTCATTCATTTTCAAATCAAGTGCCTCACCCAATGGGGTCAAGATCCTACTCTGATTCAGACACCATGCAATTTGAAGATCAATCACTGTCGAAACTGAAGGAAAGTGACAGGTGCACTGCCACAGAAAACCTCTTTCTGGAAACACTGTCCCTTGATTCTCCGGATGATTCTGATGAACGGCAGCCTCAGAAACTGGAACGAGAAAGGTTCTTAACTTGTGCAAATGAGGTGCGTCCATTGCTCTTTGTATTGTCAGCTCAGTTGTAATCCCATATCCCTGCTATTTTGTCAAAGGATGCTTTCCAATGCTGTTTATATAGGGCCTTCTGGTGAATCAGTTCATTCTGGGAGTTGACTGTACGATTTAGCCAGATGCATATTGGATCTTTCTTGCAGTGACTCTATTCAAACATTATGCTGCATATAGCCAGGGCCAACACACCCATGAGGCAAGTTGAGGAGACTACCTCAGGCAGCAGGATCTACCGGGGCAGCCGATGCTGATGTTGATCTTTCTCCCCCACCCCCCGCCTTGTTTCTGATGTATCTCTTCCCTCACCTGCTTCTTCCCTGGCACCATTTTGAGGTCCACCTCAGGTGCCAGAATGTCTTAGGCCAGCCCTACATATATTGTGATATAGATGCCACAATCTCACATCCCTACTATGGATAAGGAGAGGTTTGGTGGGGGACTGTGTTCCCTGATCTAGGCTATTAAAATTAGAATTGGTTATGGAGAACTTCCATTTTTGCCATTGTTTATCATTTGTGTCTTCTTAATAGGGCTCTAAACAGTTATCTTTTTAAATTGTAGAACAAGCTCTTTCCATAAAATAGAAGTTTTAAAAAGCTGGGCTTTTTAAAACCTCCCCCTAAAAATTATGACTAGGGGGAGGTTGTGAGGAATTGTTATGGTATTCCCCATATGATTAACGTAATGGTCTGCCCACACATTTAACAGCAATGGTATAATGAGTTTCAGTTGATGCTAATTATCGATATCTAGTAAATTTATAATGAAATAATGTCAAAAAGTAGATTTTATCTGATCTCAGCACTGCAAGGTCACTAATATCAAAGAGAGCAGCACAGAAAAGCAGCTTCAGACATGCAAATATAATACGAGATATGTACTAGTTGTCTTTATAATCATTAGAACTAAAAAAAAGTTGTGCTCTATTGAGAGATAATTAATCTGTGTGTCTGGTCTTAGCAGTGTGAGGGTTATTTGTTTATACTAGTCAGTTCAACTGGGAATACTTTACACAGATGCATATAAAGAAAAAAATCCTTCTTAATTATCCAAATATTGGAAGCATGGGGGAGGTCAGATATGCTCTTCAAAGGGTTTTCAAGAATTTGATATATTGAATAAAGTTAATGCAAATACAGCCCACAGGCGCCCAATATAGGCATATATGCAAGCTCAAAATTAACAGGTTTTTTTTTACTTTCAGGAAGAAGAAATGCACAAGGGAAATCTTCAAAGGTGAGTAAAGTGGGGTGAAACATAGCACAAAATGAATTACATGAATTACATGTTTAACACACTCACCCTAAATTGCTTTCAAGATCTTAAAACTAGATACCAGAGGTTCAATTCTAGGATTTTACTGTGAATAAAACTCCCCACTATTCTGTAACATAATATTATGGAGAGGTGTCACACATGTGATTTCCTCCCTTAGTGATGACTTCTTATTTTTTGAATCCCTTTGTTAATATATTGCATGCCATTTAGTTTCTTCCTCAGTTTACCCATCAATAGCTGTGGTTAAGTGTAGGACAAAACAGCACAGAGATTCAAATATAAAGTGAAAACAAAGCAGATTGCATTTTCTTTAAAATAGTGATATTGGCAGGTGGTATGGTATGTGTATGGTTACTTAAACTAGATGGTTAACTTCACTTTGTTAAAGTTGCTTTAAATAAGAATGTTTACACTATATGGTTACTACCACCCTAAATGATATAACAAATTCAATACAGACTTCCTGTCAATTTTGTTAATTTGATGCTATGTGCTTCCTTCTTCAGGGCAATGTCTGTCTCCTCTATGTCAGAGTTCAAGCGTTTGATGGACATTTCTCCTTTTCTTCCTGAAAAGACTCTGCCTTCTTCCAGCAGCAAGGAGGAGATAACACCTCCTCTGTCTCCTGATGATCTGAAATACATTGAGGAATTCAACAAAACTTGGGATTACAACACTACCAGAAAAAATGGTGGAGCTGTCGAAAGACCTGGAGATACTTGGGCAGAGAGGACAGAGATTGGGAAGGCAATCAATAATTCAGTTCCAGATCCATTCCAACCACCTTCATGGTACCTCACCACCAGTGTTACTATGACAACTAATACCATGACCAGCCCTGAGCACTGCCAGAAACAACCACTGAGGAGTCATGTTGTTGCAGAAAAAATGGGAGTTAAGGTCTTTCATAGTCCACCAGTTGTTCGCAGGTTTGAAACCTCAGTGGTAGCTAGCAATGAAGGGAAAAGCCAGTCAGAACCAGACTTTTTGTTCCCTATGACCAAAGTTAAGGGAAATGGGGGCGAGACAAAAGGTACTTCTTCAGAAGTGTTTGGGCGATGGTCTTCTGACCTCTCCAAACACCACAACGATTTCCTGGAAAGTGGTATTCATCCAATTGAACGTCCTATTTGCACTACTTTGGGTTTTGCGTCCTCCTTGCACAGCCTGGAGATGTCCAAAAACATGAGTGATGACATGAAAGAGGTAGCTTATTCTGTCAGAAATGCAATACGCTCAAATTCGACAGAGCTTCAGTTCAAAGACACAGCTTGTCAGACTAATGGGTTGAGAACTACGGGCACACAGACCACTCAAACGATCAGTGTGGGCTTACAGACAGAAACTTTGCGTAGTATCACAAGCAGTCCACACAGGTGTCTGACACCAAAGGGGGGTACTACACCTGTCTCATCACCATCAAGAAGCTTAAGGAGCAGGCAGGTGGCACCTGCTATTGAAAAGGTCCAGGCCAAATTTGAACGCACATGTTGTTCTCCCAAATATGGCTCCCCAAAATTACAGAAGAAAGCCTTTTCCAAATCCGATCAGCCAAATAACAGGACATTACCAAGCACACCTCAGAAAGGGTTCAGTGAATCTGCTTGGGCCAGATCAACCACCACAAGGGAGAGTCCAGTTCATACTACTATCAATGATGGCCTCTCCAGTTTATTCAATATCATTGACCATACCCCTGTGGTTCATGACACCCTCCAAAAATGCTCCAGGTCCAGCAGCCGATCAAGGTCAGCAGAACCCAGGTCAGAACTGGGTCCTATGCAAGACATGTGCACAAGTATCCGTGGTAGGTCACCCAGTCCCCTCCGTTTTGGCACAGAGCTACAAAAGGATGAAGGAGCTGAAACGACAAGTATCAGGCAGGACTTATCAGCTCCTCCGGGATATACTCTTACAGAAAATGCTGCCAGAATTCTCAACAAGAAACTTATGGAGCATGCCTTAAAGGAGGAGAAGAGGCTAGCTTCATACAGCCCTCCCAGTCTTAGCAATGAGAACAGCACAGGAGAAATAAACAAAGTTGAACCAGGGTCCATTGAGGTAATGAGTTTTATCCTTGTATAGTAAACCTTTTTAGATGATGAATGTTGATTAAAATATAAATGTGCAAACATTTTTAAGCAAAAGGGAATTGACTGTATAATTTATGCTTCTTTGAGACTGCATTTTGGAAGAACTTTAATGCAACACTTTTCTACGCTTCACACACATTTGTGGGGGGGACGTGGCATTTGTATTTAATAGAGATATAAGTAGCAATGGGTCTTTAAATGAATGCACCATGATGATGGATCCAGCCATAAGATGATCATATCAAGGAGTGTTTAATTGTAATATATTTGAAAGATAACACAGTAGTTTTCATATGCGGTATAATATAAATATTAATTAACTTGTATTTCATACAGTAACACCATGACAATTTTTAATGTATGTCAGTACAATCTTAAGCAAGATTATTTATCAAAAGTAAGTTCTGCTGAATGCAGTAGAACACAGCAAGTTTGTTTTAGGAATTGGAGATTTCATATACACAAAAGGCACTATTTGCCACACTCGAATATCCATGCACAATTGCTTTGAAACTAGCCAGTTTTGTGATCCAAAGCCTCCTGAGACAAATAGGTTTTCAGAGCCTTTCTGAAAGTCTGGAAGGTGGTAGTACTCTTGAGGTCAGCTAGCAATGAATTCCAGACACAGCTTTGGAAGCTACTGACTACAACAAATTTACTTTTTGGATGGAGGAAACTTTTAGCAGGGCCTCTTTCTTTGGTCTTAGAAGATTTACAGAAGGATACACTGTCCATAATGCATCCCGGCAAATATCTTCCTACTACATCTTTGAACCCCTAGGTATTCTACAATCTTCATAAGTATCCTGCAACATTGCTGTATTGCTTTTTGAGCTGCTCCAGATGTTGATATTTTTCTGGATAGTTCACCTGTGCCATCATGTTTGAAAACTATGTGAGAGTTGCGTCTTGGATTACATGTATTTGAAAGCAGAGCAGCACAATAGACATGTGATTTTCACCCAAGGTTGTATGGTTTTTCTCCTATGTGAAAATTATGTATAAAGATGATTAGGAAATGTTTATTGCTGATCAAGTATGGTCTTATGGATAGAAGTTGGCTTGAGTCTAGGTTTAAATTCCAGCTCAGTAATGAATTCACTTAGGGGGGTGTCATGGTAACTCTTGTTATTCTTGAATAAGTGCGGTATTTGCATTTGCATTCTAAATATATTATATTCTTTTTTTAAAAAAATGTGTGAATATGCTATTTAAATAGATCTTCATTGTAATGACCATTTGAAGTTGGTTCACTGTACCAGTTGTGGCATTAAGACTGCAATCCTGTACCTACCTACTTGGGAGTAAGCTCCACTGAACTCTAAGTAGGCATGTATAGAATTGCACTACAATTTCCAAAACTAGTAACTGAAGTTAACCTTAAATATACACATTGTATAATTTCTTAACATAAAGTAATAATTAAGAAGTGTTACATAAAGGCAAACATGTTGTGTGGGCAACTTTTATAACCAAATGTCACATACAGGGAAAAAGAAATATTGCCATTGTGTGGTATGTTACTACTCTTGTTATATCATCTTTTCACAATGGCAATTACTTCACAGGAACTGACTTCCGTTGCTTGGATGTTGTTTGAACTCACTTCCATAGTTCCACAAAAAGATACAAGTCTCGTTGAGGATGCTTCCAGACAGGTCTTAATATTGTAAATGCGTTGTAAACAATTATTATTTTTAAAACTTACTGGATTTTCCTCAAAAAGGGTAAATCCAAATTAATTTGGGGAGTGAGGATACAGGCTGGCATTTTTATGGCGGTGACATTGCGGGGACACTGCAAAAATGTTGTATGCAGGAAGAGAACCACTCCCACAGCAAATGCTTTTCTAGAAGCACTCTGAGTAATGCTCCACAAATATGTGGGATGGTGAACTTTGAAAGGCTCAAGTCCAAAGGATGGACGTTTAAAATGTGATAGCACGATGAAAAGTTTATGGAATAATCACTTAGAGCAAGTCAGTTTAGGAAGTTACTTGCTAATGGCTTCTATTCAGATTACCAAATGCATTTTTGCTCGTTTGGTGGCTGGGCTGAACTTAAAATGGCATGCCATGTGAAGTAAAGCATCCTGTCAGTATTGCTCCTTTCTTGATTCTGGCAGTGGGAGTGCCTTACAAATCTGTTCCAAATTAGCCAATCTGCTCATACTGAAAGAATAATTTATTTCTGCTCTGCAGGAATAATGCATCACTGATTTTTGAATACCCGCATGGAATGCCAGTTAGAAGCTTGTTGCTATTTCATTTGTGCTTCTTACAATTGTTTTCTTCAAATTTTCCATTTAGGATGCTTTCTGTGATACTTGCTAAAATATAGAATATTTGTGTGCATTCACATGCATATGTGTATTATGTATACACATGTTAAATACACACTGGTGGTTTTCATATATGTAAATATATATTGCTCTGTCCCAGGGCAATATGATAAGTTTTGTATCTTCAAAATGCTGTTTTCGAAATGCCCTCTACATCTGCCCTGACCCTACCTCTGCCAAACGTCTATCTGATTAGGAAGTCATGGCATCAATATACACGAAACTCCTTCAGGTCACACAAAAAACAAAATGTCTGGTTTTTCCTTGAGCTGCCAAGAACTTTGCATACATTCGCCATAGTTCTGTTATTCAAGAAGCTGGGAAAGAGAAGAGTTCCTGAAGAAAGTCCAGCAGGCCACATTATTTGGCAAGAGAACTACTCTAGCTGCTGTGCTGTGTCATGCTTCATATTCTGTTCCTAACTGCGTGGCCCTTGCTGCATACTGCCCTCTCTGCTGACAAGTTTCCAGCGCTAGAACAGATGGCATCAGAATGCTTTCTCTTTTTTTGCTTCTGCTTTTCCTCCCCTTCCTTAAAGGCAAAGACAAAACAGCAAATTCATATCCACTAGATGTGATTTGTCACCCAGTCTTTCCGATTCTTGCTATATGAACCCATTCCTTGCCTTTAAAAAAAAATAGACAGAAGCTTTGTAATTTCAAAACTTATTCGGACTTTGGAATACATTTGGAACAAGTGGAATACATGCTTACCAATCAGATATAGTCTTTAATGCCATACCCTCATGTAAAGACAATGCTAAAAATTGGGGGTGTCTCTCATTTTCTCAGTGTGATGTTAGCAGTTTACTGCATCTTTCACATAGCCTCTCCAGTTATGGCTGTGGCATAATAAATGTTAGCAGTGAAATATGGAGAGCTCTTCAATGCTGACTACATTTCTCTGGTTTAAATATTCTTTCCAACCTACTTCCTCTCTTTTTTTCCCTCTGTCTGTCTATGTCCAGAACCAAACTGTCTTACTAACTGCCCCCTGGGGACCCTAACCCTGCCTGCCTCACTGCTGTAAGTCCTTTCTACCTTTGTTTCCAAAATTCTTTACTTAAAACAACAACAACAACAACTTTTACTTGGTGTAGAAGTATAAACCGAAGAAACAGCAGCATTCCCTGTCACTGGCATGAGCTGACAGTGGATTCCAAATAGAGAATGAAGCTTTTGAGTCATAGCTCTGTCTTCTAAAACATTTCCCACCAAATATTATTCATTAGTCACTGTCATGAACACTCTCAAACCAGCATGTTTCCTCTTCAACCAGGTCCATTCCATGGAACTAAGTTGAACCAAATTAGTTTTAACGCAGCTTTGCTAGCTATAGGATTCCGCCCACAATGGCCACAGTGCAGTTTGGAAGGTATTTTTACTTGTTCTGTCGTTCTCCATCATTTATTTCACCTGTTAATATAATTCTTCAGTTTCCAGATAAATAGGGCAGAGGCAGCTGCCTTGTTAGGGTCATGCTTTAGATGCAGCAACATGCTCCATTGCTTGTGCTGTGGCAGCTGAAGACCAATCCACAGGACAAGGTCAGTAAAAGCCCCACAGAAGGCTGGGAGTAAAATGGAAAGAATCTCTACCTACCTAGTTTCGAGACTAATGGTGCATTCAGACTTTCATAAATAGGGAATTTGCCATTGCAGCATGATAGCTTTGTCATTGCAAAAGTTTTCATTGCATGGTGAGTCATTCCTTTTCTCTCAGATGGAAAGGAAATGGGAAGAAAGCTTCGCAAGGTGAGATGGTTGCCTCACTGAACAAGTCTGTCCTACAGATGTATTTGAACATACATAGTTTGAGAGGCAGGGCTTCTGGGAGTGCACATTCATTACATGTTCAAGACATGCAGACTTTTCCTCAGGAACAAGCACATGAAAAACCATTCTTTGTGTTTGCAGCAAAAGTTGGCTGTGCGCAGCACTGATTGGCTGGAAGGGATGATGGCATGAGTTTTTCCCCTCACAGCTTTTCGTCTGTTTTAAAATGGGTCCTGCTTTAAGAAAAAGAAAAAAAGAGACACAAATTGAGTATCGGCACAATCCTATGCATTTTTATATCTCACTGAGTTCATCATCTCATTAACTTCAGTGGGAGTTTTACCCTAGTAAAGACATTTAGCATTGCGACCTAAATAAGCATGCAACACTTCAAAATAACAAAGCATATAGGAAGAGCAAGATAGATTACTGGGTCAGTTCAAGCCACTTGCTATTACGCCTGCCAAAGGCATAGCATAGCAACTGTGGGAGAAAGGTGGGCTTCCCCTGTGGAATGAAATATGTTGTGAAAGAAGCAAATGGAAACGGGACAAATGTTGAAATGTTCTTGCTTGCGTAAATTGCATTGCTTTGACCAAGCAACAACAGAAAGTCTGGTTTTATTCAAACCACAGATTAGCTTTGCACAGCAACAAAACAGCTAGAGAGGAGCCAAGCAGTTGTGATCTCCACTCTGAGGGTCTGCCCATTTGCTTGTTCACACTGAGGCATATTTGCATTTAGGATTATGTGTGAACCAGGCCAGTGCTGTCCATTACTAGTAAGTGGTTGCACTGAAGCATCTTACTTATCCCGTCTCATATTATAGACACTCTAAGCAGTAGACTTAAACATAACCATGTATGGCAAAACAAAACCTGCCAGTCCTTTATTCACTGAAAGCAGCTATAAATGGTGTGTTCTACATATTGGAGTTCAGAAATAAATGTGGGCCTAATTGTGCCTTTCTCTTAAAGCTGCGATGGAAAGTTGTCTGAAATAGGAGTAACATCATTGAAATAAATTAATAAATGTGGCCATGTATTTAGCAAGAATAAGTCAGAGTAACCAAATTTCAACTGAGCTGCGCATATAATTACATCTAGAAAAACATAGTCTCAGTCCATCTTTTCTTATGGTAGACGCTGGGCATGGTTTTAGTATTGTACCATATTTTAACAAGGTGGAGACTTATAATTTCTTTCCAATTGGCATGAATGTATTCTTCACCTTATTACTGGATGTTTCTTGATAGCTTTCCAGTACAAAAGCTCTATTACTGATTTAAAATGCTAGGAATTCTCAATTTAATGGGATCTTGAAGGGTAACATTTTGTCTCTAGCGCTGGAGCTAAAGAGATTCGGCACTTGCTAGAGGCCCGATACATACAGAATATGTATCCAATGTATACCACCTCTTTATTCAGTTTCAAAGCACTCTCCCCCATAAAGTGTTGTGGTCCTTTCCTTCCATAGGGAAAGGGCTTTTTCAAGGGTAGCTTGAAGACAGTAACACGAGTGCAACCTCTCTTCATTCCATGACATTGTGTTTTGTGCATCCTGTTTCAGTCTGTTTCTGTCTCTTCTGCCCTTGCTTTTCTGAAGCAACCATCCTGTACACAATTACCTGAGAGTAAGTCCCCCCTGAATTCTGTGGGACTTACTTCTGAGTTACATGACTAGGGATTGTGGAGCAAAATACTTAACTGTCAATGTCTGCTTTATATCATGTTACCAGGCTCAGCATCCTCCTGTCTTTTACTGCCTTTGTTCCATTTTTATAGCATGGTGTGGTAAATCTCTCACTCCATTTAACATGTGTCTTTGGCTCTTAGTCAGTAACTTATTCCATAACTCTTACTATGTGGTATATAACTTCCAGCTTTGTATACTGCCAGGGTACATTTTGATTTGGATTTTTGTATAGCTTACATATCACTCTCTCACCTGTTTAGTGATTTACACCCTCATTGTGGACCTTTTTCTTCTATGTGTTGATAATCTTAGCACTTTTTGTTTTTAAATTCTTAAAGGTACACAGTGGAAACCTGATTATGTGCTTTGGCAAGTTTACACCTCTGTACAAATTGTACGCAAAATTCTCCATTCTGTAGGAAAGTCTGTAATTACTAGCTGCCATCATCAGTCCTAAAATATAAATAAACTGTCAGTGTGAAACATCACGGTTAAAGGCTGTGTACTCCAAATGCAACCAGGCCTTGCATTAAGTTTACTTTTCTGGTCTTTAACTTTTCTCCTTCAGTAGTCCTGGGTTGCAGATTGATTTGGGCTGTGGCCAAGGCTGACAAGGCCTTGAAGCATCCTGAAGTAGTACCTCATGTGACTGATTTCTAAAAGTGGCACTCTTTCCTTCTACTTGGATTGATCGATCTCTTTTTGCAATTACAAAAGGGGGAGGGGTGCTCCAATTAAGAACTGTGGAGCCAGAGGTTGGGGGATGATTTTCATTTTTTTACTTCAAGTAAATAGATATCAGTGACCGGTGTTAGCTGGAGCTGCTTGTCTGTTTTACTACTTTCAGTTCAGTTATAAAGGTCAGTTTTAAGTCAGTAATATTGTTTAGCAATTGCCTACCATTGCTTTTTGGTCCAAATTATTTTTAAATCCAAGTACACTGAGAGGAAATCATGCTTTCTATTCTGAGAGTTCTTCAGTTGATGATTATATCATAATTTTATAGAGAATGTTACTTGAACAAACCTGACCAATTGTCCTCTCACTAGCAAATGTAACATCCAGCGTCACTGAAAACGTATTAAAGATACTTAGGGGCACGTCACACGATGGAACTGCCTCACATCAAGTATTTTAGTTATGCCTACAGGCAGTGTTTATAATTATGAACATATTTAAACAGTAGACTTCTCCTGAATGTGAACGTTTTGAGCCAGACTGCATGTGACAGCAAGAGAATTTTGTGTAGAATCAGGTCCAAATCTCTCTAGCTCATTGGGAAGGTGCAATTTGAATAGCAGCATGAGTAGACAAGATGAGGTGTTAGAAATCTCCCCTATTCAACCAGTCTTCTTCCTGGGTGCACTTTGTTGTTGTTAAGTAACCTTTGAGGTGACTCCAATATCAGAAGTAAACCTCACTGGGATAAAACTGGTATTAAAAATGGGGTGGGTTGGAAATTCGTCTCCCCCCCCCCCCCAGCCTTGTATTATAGGAGACTGGCAGGACTCTGTTTGGGCCTCCTCTAGTTGCCATCTCAGTTATTTTCTTCCAAAATTCTAGTCAGTGAATGTTGGTCAGAGACATCAGTTCACTTAAACTGCTTGCCTCATCCTTTCATATTTTGCTTCATTGGTTACAGGCAAAAGTCAAGAATTTAAGAGCTATCTACAAAAATGTGTTTTTTGCTGCTTTGGTTTCCTTGCCAAATTACATATGCTTAGATTTTGGATTTAGCTTTCTTTCATTGTGTGATATATAAATTGGTAATTTTGTTCCTCTTCATTTTTTCACAAAAAAGGAACTACCTTGTTCCGCACTTGCTCCATCCTTAGAATCCTGCTTCTCCCGACCAGAGAGACCAGCGAATCGACGCCCACCTTCCCGATGGGCCTCACATTCCCCTACTGCCTCACTATCTCAGTTAACTGGGGAGGAATATGGAAGCATGGAACTGCCGTTGGAGAACCCAAACCAGTGATGCAAGCCTGCATGAATTATCACAGAATAATTCACTGTCTTTTGCATAGTAGCACCATTACCATGGCCAGTCTCTGTCAGTGAGGAGAGCTCAAGTTGCAGAGGTTAAAGAATGTTCTAGAATGCAGCTGCTTTGTGTACCTGAGAAACAGATGTTTCTAGAATGAAACAGTTAATGTGCCTGTAATAACTTATTTTTTTCATAGCTCAGAAAACTATTTTTGCCTCCATCTTTTCTACACACAGTATATTAGGATCTAAAAGATATGCAGATAAAGATAAGGTTTTAAATAAAACATGAATTAGGTTTCAAGGGAAACTGAATGTGTTCTCTCTTTCCCGCTCTCTGACTACTGACTGCCTTCTGTTATATTTGCACCGTTAAGGTTTGGGTTTTGTTCTGGTTCTCTTTTTTTTTTTGTTTTTAAAATTAGAATTTTAAGTTAATTATGTTGGTTATCAGTTTGAAAAAGAAAATTCATAGAGGTGCTTTAGCATGTCTGAAGCAGTAACTTTTAAGTAGTGAAAAAGCCATTGAACTAGTTGACTAGAGTTGTCTTAAATAAACTAGAGGGGAATGCAGGGAATATGGAATGAAATGTTTAGAAAAGGGCAGGGGGGGACCTCAGACAGTCTTAATGAAGTGAGCTGTACGATACATACACACACAAAAGATTTGCATGTCATTAGGTTCCTAGCACTTTAGTGCATGTACACACTGCTACTGTACTCTCACTGTCACATCCGTGTCTCAATTTATTTCCCTGTTATATTGTTGTGAATTTATCTGTACTGTACTTTTAATGTTGGTATTCTTGCATTGATTGTACAAAAAAAGATTTTTAAATAATTGTTCAAACAGTTCAACTGGCTATGTACAGTGTTTATTGAAAACTTCCCTTGTTTGAGGGAAAGCACTGAGAACTCTGGGCATACTAAATTGTAACTGGCCTTGTTTTAAGAGTCTGTTTGAGACCATGTGGTGTGGAAATAAATTCCTCAGTATTTACAAAATGCTGGAGTTTGTTTGAAGCTTGATATTCCTAAACCTGTTTCCCATCTATTACATGAATGATAGCAAACATCCTTAACAAGATAGAAGAATTTGAATATGAACAAATGGACATGTACAATGCCCCCCCCCCAAAGCTGAACTTGTAGAGTATGAAGAACTATGTTGGGAGTGTTCTTTGCTGTTTGCAAAAGAAAGAAAAAATCTAGTTCACTAGGGTGGCAGTTTCTTTTTTTATGTTTCCTTTGATATTTAGTGTTTGATCATGAGCATATGCTGATACCATCTATCAAAACAGACAAAATTTAAAAGCCAGGCTTAAAAGCCAGATTTAACACATTCTTGTATCATAGCAGGTAAGAATTGGCAGACGTTTACTTTTCTTACAAGTATCTTTGCTCTGAAAGCATTTATGGGCAGTTAGGGCAACGCAAGGATGACTAGGGCTGTGTGATCTTGAGCCATTTTTCAACTGTGCCTCCTATTGCCACATCAGAACTTCTGAGCACTTAAAAGGGGCCTCCTGAGTATTTGCCCTTCAGTGCCTCTTGGCACCCTAGTCAAGTATTCCACATTTTTTAATTGTTAGGGACAGTGGGGCTTCAACATAAAGAGGAAGACGATGGGGGCTGAAAAACAAAGGGGAAATGTGGTGTATAGAGGCTACGTTGCAAGGAAACACAATAAGACTATAGATCATCTTTAGTGCTAAGTTGGTGCAGAAGCTAAGAGAGGTGCCCTAACTTACAGTTTCTGTGTCTTTTTTTGTGTGAATAGGCACACATATAATTCTTTAATTGTGATACCAACATTTCTTTTAATTTTTTGAGTTCAAGGAATAATGCTGTACATTATCTTCCCAATCAGCAATACAGTAGTATCTCAATGTGTACTGCAAAACTTTGTTAATCTTACAGCCAGAGATGTCTCAAATGGTTTGATAAGTGAGAAAGGATCGATTCCATTAGATATTTCCAGTCTTTTCAAACTCAAATCTCAAAAGAAATGGGTTGATTCAGCTGGTGAATTTCAGTAGTAATTTGATAATTCTGCCTCAGATGAGAATTATGAAATAAGCTCCTTGGATAGTGCAGTCCTTTTGATAGATATTGTTATCTGCTGGAGGTTTTGATACAGTTGAGGTGTATACGTTTTGTTAAATAAATAGTCAATCAGATTAAAGAGAAAGAACTAGTTGCAGTGGTGTAATCACTCCTCTCCAATTAACTCCAATGCATTGGGCCAGGAGATGTAATTTCATTTCTTTATTTCCTCAGGTTAAAAAAAGATGAAGCTCATATCCCAGAAACATAAGCTCTCTTTTTCCTATATAGAAAGATACAAATGGGAAAACAGATTATAAGGAGTGCAGCCTAGGGCTTGTTTGAATATTCATAATCAATCTTCCTTAAGAGAGAGAAAGAGAGAAAACGAGAGAAAGAGTCACACATAACTAGGCACACATAACTAGTTAATGACTCCCAGAAGCGATGTTTGCTCTCTGAAATCAGTGCACACAGCCAAGCCATCAGATTAGTCCTTAGCCATCCTGAAATAGTAAGGTGTGTCAGGATAAGCAGCTTGCCATGGGTTGTCAAGTAAACTGCTTACATAACTGCAGGAATGACTGATACAAGAGGCCGGCTGAACCCAAGGAGCCAGAAAAGAAAAGAAGAGAGGGAGCCAAATGCATAAGGAAAGCGCTTCAAAAGATCTGAAACCCACATTAATGTAACGTTATGTTCCCTGCGGTCAAATCCTTGAGCACAACAGTATCAAATATGTCGCCCAAGATCTTTAAAAGCATGTGGGCTTTCACGTTTTAATTATGACAGCGTTATTTTTCTGTTTCAACAAATATATTTTCTTTGTTAATATGATTGATATGTTCTGCAACATTGATATGTTCTGCAAAATATTTAAGGTAACTTCTGTCTCAGCTTTATGAAAGCTTGATGTCCACTGGGTGCAATTGTGCTGGCGAATTACAAACTGAAGGACTGAGCAGAAGCTTAGATAGAAACAAATAAATAGACTGGTGTAGGTTTTCAGTATGATACTTCCCTTTGCTTTTTTGTTATATCATTTTTCACCTCCAATAAGTTTTATTTTTATTTTCTCTTTGCAAACCTGATGTAGATAATAGTTAGATGTTGTTGGGTTGTTGTGGCTGTGTGTGATGTGTATGAAGATTGAGCATTTTCACATACAACTGAAGTTTTGCAGATAATAATCATTTTGGGCTGCTGCTCCAACTGGAAATCTCTTGTACAGGCTATGATCTCCCAACAAACCCTAAATAACTCTCCTTTTGATAGTTCATTCAGAAGTCATTAATACTGATTTATGCCTGGTTACTACACTGCTAACAACAGTGAGACAAATGTATTGCACAAAAATGTAGAAATAAAGATCCTACCATAACTGGCTGGTTATGGAAAACTTGCCAAACTATCTTAATGAGAAAGCTTCCCTATGAAAGCAATGAAATACATAATAAGAAAACAAATTCATTGAGAGGTGGGCCTTGCTTTTACAGTTCTGGAATGAATGTGTAAATAATGTTATTTTTCATTTTAATTTATTCATGGTACTATAGAGTTTCTGTTACGTTGTCACTCCACCCTCTTCATCTGTCAGTTTCTTGTCTTTTTTGTTTTTGTTTCATTTGTTTACTTTTTCTGCATGAGAAACAAGGTTGCCTGATTATAATGGTTTTTGTTTCATGTTGTTATAATATTTTTTTAATAAAAAAAAGTGGTATGATACTGCTTTAAATGTATAGTGCAGTGTGATTCAAAATGCCAAGAGCTGGCAGGCCTTTCTTTGATCACAGCTGCTGAAGAAAATGCAGTTGTGACCTCAGATATCATTGCCAACTTGCCACATGTACAGCCTGATTTTCTGAATTCTTGGTGTGAAGAACTGACCCACCAGCTGTTGCCATCTCAAAGGTCAAAGTTATTAGACTGTAATAGGAAAAAATAATGTGACATTATTCCTGAATTATTAAGCTTAAGGCCAAGGAAGCAAAAGCGCACATTATTTATTCACATAGACTGCAGCTTTCCACTATGGCATGTCAGCATTAATCACCCAGGCACTTATGTAGCTTATCTTTTAAGCAGCAAATAATTAGAGCTTCTTTCATAGGCTGAACTAAATAATTTAGTAGAATCATTTCTTCTAATCAGAAAAGTCTTGAGAAAAGGGCAACAAGGAAAATGATGAGCAGATTCCCTAAGCAGCATCCTAAGGAATTAAAAAGACTGTTCACTATAGCAGTGTGGTATGAAGATACGTGTTACATAGCTCTGATTTTTAACACTTTACATTTCCCACAAAAGAGAGGAGATCCTGATATAAAAGTAGGTAGTGCCAAGGAAACTCCTTTAACTCCAAACCTTATGGGAGCTATTTTAAATGTTGCCTAAATTCATTTTGACCTAGCTGTGATGGTAAATTAAGTTGCTAAACATCTGCTGTCATTACAGTGAGATCCTGTTGTAAAAGCTTACAAAATGTCAACTGCGCACACATCTGACAATGTCCTGTGACATTTTTTTAACATTGATATTCATTACCTCAGACTTCTAATGAGTTTATTACTGCATAGAAGTGACAGAGAATTCTAGCAGAGAAGGTTATTAGACTTAGTGCACATAGAAATGCTGGTGGTGTGATTACAACCTAGAAGCAGGTATTTTAATGGAGAGTAATGCATTATGCACAGAAATTTCTTTGGCAACTGCTGAGTGAGAAGTACCCCTTAGGCAGCTATGAGGCGGCCAACCTAGTCTCATATTCTTCTATTCCAATATTACAATGGATCTTTAAGAAGATTTTCCAACACGATATAAATTCTAAGTACTAAAACAGGGATGGGGAAACCTGTGGTCTTCCAAATGTTGCCAGCAAGTCCAATGGTCAGGGATGGTGGCACCAGAGCAAGATCTCAGGTTTCCCATCCTTGGAAGACAGCAGAAGCTGAAATATATGCAGCAAAAAGGGGGAGAGGTATGTGTGTCACTTAAAATTGGGACTTCAACTTTACTGCTCGGCCTGTCTTTACTGTTTATGATTCCCATGTGTAGTTTCTGAGGTAAACAAAATAATTGTTCTGGAATGAGATGAAAGGCAGTAAGTAGATCAAGGTCACTGGGTAAGTTTCATGAGTGAATGGGGATTTGTTCTGTGGTCTTCCAGGCAGTGGCGTAGCGTGGGGGGTGCAGGGGGGGCCGGCCGCAACATCTGGGGTTAGGGCAAATCCACAGGTTAGGGGGCGCAAATCCACGGGTTAGGGGGTGCAAATCCACGGGTTAGGGGGTGCAAATTACTTGCCTTGCCCCGGGTGCTGACAACCCACGCTACGCCACTACTTCCAGGCCCCAGTACAACACTATAATCATATACTAGACTCTGTGCTTTTAGAAAAAAGGTACCGGTACTGTATACCCTTGAATACCTACAACAGAAGGTATTGAAATGGGGCAATAAAACAGCTAAAATATTAAATAAACCTTGAGATGTAATAGATCCTTTGAACACCTTAACATTAAAAGAGGCCATACAACCAAATAAAGCTATCACTTTACAATTACAAGAGAATCAAACTAATAAATTATAAAGATTGCATAACCTAATTTTGTGAGATGGAGAAATAAGAGAAACTGTAAAACAACATCTGGAAATATACTTTCAACATAACATTACTTCAGAAGAAGAGTGGACAACTATACGGGATGCAGCTAAAGCATATATGAGAGGGGTCCTCATACCGAATACAATCAAACAACAAAGAAAATCTAAACAGAAAAATAAAGCTCTTACTGTATATTGGATATCATAAGGAAAGGACATAAACAAACCCATAATCCAGAAATTCTGAATCTCTAAGATCATTACATCAACAAATACAAAGAGGAACTAGAGAAATATACAAATAGTATGAAACAAAATGGTATGGCTATGACAATAAATAAACCTTCTAGATTTCTACTTG